AAATAAAATAAAATAAAATAAAATAAAATAAAATAAAATAAAATAAAATAAAATAAAATAAAATAAAATAAAATAAAATAAAATAAAATAGTTTTGAGTCCTTGCAAGGTGATTTTCTGTACGACAAAGATAAACTTTTGCTGAGATGCTTGAAACTGTAACGCCACCTGCTGTCTCAAACAGAAATCAGGAAGCAGTTCTGTTTGGCTGTGGTGGTTTTACCATGCTAGGCAGCTAAATACCACAACCACTCTCTCACTCCCCCTCCATAGATGAGGAGGGGAAGAAGTAAAGGAAAGAACAACTCACGGGTTGAGATGAGGATAATTTAACTAAAGGGAAAAATAATAATTATTAAGGAAATATTATTGTTAACTAAACAATTTAACTAAAGGGGAAAAAAAGGGGAAAGGGGAAAAGTGAGGGAGAAAGGGAAAAGATGGGAAAAAATAAAAAATAAAGGCTATGTAGAAGTGCAGAGGAAAGAAATTACTCTCTAATTCTCACAAATGAGCGATGCTTGACCACGTCCTTGAAGTAGGACCTCAATGCATGTAGCTGGTGTACGAGTGGAGGATCGACGTTTTCACAAGAGCCCACCCCTCCCCTCTTCTTCCTGTTTCCACCTTTTATTGCTGCGTGTGACATCATATGGTATGGAATATCCCTTTAGTTGGTTTAGGTCAGCTGCCCTGGTGATGATTCTCTTCTCACTTTTTGCTGACCCCCTATGAGGGTTAGAGAGAGTCCTGATGCTGTGCCAGCACTGCTCACAGTTGTGCCAGCACAACACTGCTCACAGTTGTGCCAGCACAACACTGGTGTGATACCAGTGCTGTTCTACCTACAAGTGCAGAACACAGCACTGTATGGGCGGCTGCAGGGAAAGTTAACATCCCAGCCAGACCCAGTACATTAGCTGTATTATATAAAATGCTACATATAGAATAGAAATCCATTAATGTGGAAAATTGGGTGTAAAGCATGTAAGTAGATGAATAAAACAAATAAAAATAAATCATGAAGAATTACTTAGAACACAGTCTCCCTTTCACTTGGCTATGAATGGTTGAGGAAAAAAGTGAGATGAGAAACAAGGTAACTACCAGCAAAGATTGCACATCTATCAGCCCTGCTCATCAGAAAACAATATTCTCTTACATTTCTCACCACATGGTGATACACAGCTGGGATGAAATCAAGGAGATACAAGTCATGAAAGTGAAAAAAACACTTATTACAGATGCAATGTTTTAAGCATGATTGTGAATCTCAAAGCTGACTAGGAAGAAGACAATACTTTGGTCTTCTTTTTCTCCTTTAGCAAAGAGGTGGTTGTCTACAGAAAGCTAGGATTTCATCTCTACAGTGATGCTATATTTCAGTTAATTAGGTTTTGGGAGGAGTAGGATGGTGCAAGAAGAGGAGTAAGATTAAGTTTTATTTAACACCTTATATTGAGGGTTTTGAGAAAGCTAAACAGAACATAAGGTATATAAGCACTGTTAATTAGAAGGGACTGTGAATACCAAAAGAGATCCCTGAAATAGAAAAATTAAAAGATGTACACTGAAATGTTAAAGACATGAAAACTAACTCAATCATCTGGAGGGAAAAACAAAAACAAAAACAAAAACAAAAAACACTTGTAGTTCTTTAAATGAGAGAATGAAAATATTAAGAGAATTAAAAGAGTACAGCTTAAAGCAGTACTTATGGGTCATGATTAGAAATAAAAGAAAATAAAAGGCGCTATGTGGAGCACTACTAAAATCGCTATTCTTTAAACAGCACACAGACACAGTGCCTGGTTGAAATATTTTCAATTCAAATTAACAGGCAATGTCCTTCTTGATGTACAAATCCTATTGCAAGGCTGTGGGGGAGCATTGTTCAGTGGGCTTTAATCAGAAGCATGAATTCTTTGGTTTGGTTTTCATAGAATCAGAATTTGGTTTTCATAGGTTAGAGAAGACCTTTGTGAAATATGTTCATCTGATTCGTGAGCATAAAAAACAGCTGCCTGATGTAATAGGTATGCATCTTGGTGGAGCAGAGACTCCTGGCGCACCCAGCACTATTTGCTTGCGTCTATTCGTTTAATAAATTGTAAACTTTAATTGCAATCCTATTTGGGACTCAGTCATAGTCATTTATTACACCTTCAAGATCATCTGGTCCAACCATCACCTGTTTTGTCTCATTTCTATCCAGTTTTCTATCCTGGACTTTATGTTTTCCACGAGTTAGTGGGGGCTCAATTCAAGGTAGATAACCAATCCTCTAAGTATTGGCCACACGTTCAGGTCACCAGGGGGCGTAACAGCAAAGACCTGTGATGGCAGTAGCAGTGGGGAGGCCGATGGTGTAGGAGGATCCATGGACGAACCCGTAGCTCCCTCACTGTCTGGCAAACCACAGTTTCTGACTGCGGTCCCACATGGCTCTTTAAGGCCTCAGAGATTGCTCGCCAGGTGTCGAGCAATCCCACCGCAACTCTGTCGTTTTTAGTTGCAGAGTCCCACACCTTGATCTCAGTTTGGTCCCATATTTCAGGATCATAAACTGTCTGATTGTTAATAAGGAGAATAAGCTGTAAGGTTACCAGGACAGTCTTTGTTTCTAAGGACATAGAATCATAGAATCATAGAATATCCTGAGTTGGAAGGGACCCTTAAGGATCATCAAGTCCAACTCTTGACACCGCACAGGTCTACCCAAAAGTTCAGACCATGTGACTAAGTGCACAGTCCAATCTCTTCTTAAATTCAGACAGGCTCGGTGCAGTGACCACTTCCCTGGGGAGCCTGTTCCAGTGTGCAACCACCCTCTCTGTGAAGAACCCCCTCCTGATGTCAAGCCTAAATTTCCCCTGCCTCAGCTTAACCCCGTTAAGAGGAGGCTCAGGGGCGACCTTATCGATCTCTGTAAGTACATTAAAGGAGGCTGTAGCAAGGTGGGGGTTGGTCTGTTCTCCCATGTGCCTGGTGACAGGACAAGGGGGAATGGGTTTAAGTTGTGCCAGGGGAGTTTTAGGTTGGATCTTAGGAAGAACTTCTTTACCGAAAGGGTTGTTAGACATTGGAACAGGCTGCCCAGGGAGGTGGTGGAGTCACCATCCCTGGAAGTCTTTAAAAGACGTTTAGATGTAGAGCTTAGGGATATGGTTCAGTGGGGACTGTTAGTGTTAGGTTAGAGGTTGGACTCGATGATCCTGAGGTCTCTTCCAACCTAGAAATTCTGTGATTCTGTGATTGAGGCGACGCCCTGCTGTCTGGGGTTGCTTGTTTTCCCCTCTGTTAAGGCACGGAAGTTGCTGGGGGGGGATGCTGGTTAGAACTGTTAACATTTATTGTTTAATGTTATATGATAATAATATTATTAGTGTTGTTTCAAGGGTGAACGAAATGCGGGAAAAGCAATCACGTTTTGTTGCTTTTGGGAACCTTGTGGTGGGCAGAGCATGTGCAGAAGAGGAAGACAGTCGAAGCCGCTCCAGCAGTCTGGAACAAAAGGTTGCTAATGGTGATGGGGAAACCTTGAGCCTTTCACCCACAATGACCATCACAAAGAGAATTATAATATGAAGCGGGGATAGGATATACATATGTATAGGCATACTCAGGTTTCTTGTAAGTATGTAACAGCAATGTCCTATATATATTTGGAAAGTTCAACGGTTGGGTGTGCGTGTTGGTAGAGCATAGACTCCCTGCGCACCCAGCGCTGTTTACTTGCCTTTTATAAATATTCTTTTACGTTACTAAATTCAGAGTGAGTTGAGACTTCATTTATAACACTTTCTATCTTTCTCCAGCCTGTACTTTCACGAAAGGCTCAGTCATTGGCCAACTTAATTCTATACCTTTTTCCCTCCAGGATGCTGAAACAGCATATCACTATACCATATTTCATCCCATTTTTCTTCTCTCCTCCTTCTTCCACTCCGGATATTCCTACCTGAAGTGGCCAGCCTGGACATCAAAGCCTGTCCCTGCTAGGATTCAGGCTGCAACACAGGCAGCATTCCTTGCCTGCCATTCCTTCATTTCTCTTCCTCTCCTTTCCATCCTGGCCCTGACTCCCCCTGAAGATTTTCTTCCTCTTTCTCCAACCCTCTGCCTCACTACCTGCTGCACTGTCAATATCGTGAGTTTCGCTCTCTGCTTTTCCTTCTCATCTCCCCTCCTGATGCACACCTTCAAGGCCTCCCGCAGGAGGGCCCCTCAGTGACTGCTCACTACATCCCCCCACCTTCTGGAGCATTTTCTGTGCATCTTGCCAGGCTTTAATCACGAAATGAACTTTCAAGAGCCGTTGGGCTCTTGGCCTTCAGTTGCCAGCCTGTTAAATTTCAAATTTCTTTTGATGTTTTTACTGCTTGAAGTGGTAACGTTTCTTCACTTATCTGGCTTGACTTAACACCGCGATTTTCACCTAATTGTCCTAAGGAGTCTGGTTGTCTGCATTGTACAAGGTCGCCTGCTAAATTTTCTTATCACTGCAAGCATATCTGAGTACCAGATTCCGTACTTTAAAGCAATGTAACTCTACAAAAACAACAGTTTTATTTCCACAAGAGAGACTGCTGTAAGAAAGCCCAGATGGGCACCACTTTTATCACCACAGCATTCTGTATGTCCCTATCTTCTCGGGACTTCACAGGAGGTGCGTTACTGAGAAAAATGTCAGCCTCTCTTATCTTTGCCATTCCTGTAGGCCCTAAATCAAAGTCCCAGAGAATCACTCGCTAACGTTACCAATCAATAAATGCCCTGTGAAGAGCTAGGAAGTAATATTTGGAAAAAAATTCTCAGGCAGCCGCCCGTCCCTGCAAAGGGCAGCCTCAGCTTCCGCAAGGCGTCTCTGCAGCGCCCCAGGGTGCACCCCCATGCAGCCCCGTAGGGCCACAAGCCGAGAACATCCCCCCGCCAGCAGGACTCCATTCCCCACAAGCCCCCGCTCCGCCATCCCCTGCAGTGTGCGAGGAGCCCATTGGCTCCGCTGAAAAACCTATCGCCTACCGCCTCCTTGCGCGGGGCTGGCAACGGCCGTACACAGAGCGCGGGCGCCCGAGGCGGCCCCAGGCACCCCTCAGCACCCTCGGCTCGGCCGCGCCATGAACCTGGGGTAAGGAGCGGGAGCGGGGCCCTCCTCATGGCCGCCTGTGGGGACCGCCTCCGCCCGGGGCGCTGCTGGCGGTCCCCGCGAAGCCCCGAGCCGAGCCGAGCCCCGTACCGTCCCGTCCCTCAGGGCCCTGGAAGAGGCCCCGGGCCTGGCCCTGTCCCTCAGGGCCCTCAGCCGGCCGGAAGACCCGCGAGCCTGCCGCAGCCCGCTGGCAGTCTCGGGCACCTTCGCCGTGTTAATTGGAACGGTGCTCAGTAGAAAGCTACGAGCGCCTGGGGTTTTCAATGAAAGGCAGCTTCAACGTAAACTTTATTTTGAGTACCCCGAGAATGAATCGGACAGATTTTCTTAATTACGTGGAAGAAGAAAAGGCGTTGGGCACTTTGTGCTCATAGCGAGGCCTTCCCATGGTTTGTTTTTTTATGTTTGTTGTGCGTGGGTTTTTTTGTTTGCTTTTTGTTTGTTTTTATAAATCCTTATGGTAGCATTTGTTCTACTTAAAACAGATTGTACTGTTATAAATTTCGAGTCAATTTAGCTTTATAAGATTTATTTATGGGGTTAATAAAAGGTAAGTAAACAGCGCTGGGTGCGCAGGGAGCCTGGGCTCCTCCAACACGCACACACATTACATCAGACAGCTGGTTTTTATGCTTCTAGGTTAATACATATTCATTATTCATTACTACTTCTAGAAAAGGCAAGGTTATTATGATTAGTTCCCGGAATCCAAACCCTCCCACTGGTGCATACGTTATCAGTCTCCAGTGGTCCCTCGGGGAGTCTCGTGCTGAAGGCTCATAGTCTTCCTCCCAGGCTTTGTCCTTGCCCTTCTCCTTTGTCCATCTTGGCCAGATACCAGGGACTTGCGTAGCGTCCCATGTAGTAAACCCCTTTGTTCTCGTATCCCCAGATATCAGAGACTCAAGGTTTACCCTTCAAGCCCTCTATTGCCATGAATTGCTAGAACATTCCTTACAGTACTATTTTGCATGGAAGCATAGTTCAAGACTTTAGAATGCAACACTTCGCAATGAACAGTACAGGAATTCACAGAAATTTTTTAGTATTTTTTCTAGAATACAGTGGCACCTTCAGTCTAAAGACATACCTTGTAATGGGCTAATCCAAACTTTCCAGTATCATTAATAAAAATGTATCCTTTTTGTGACCTGTTTTCTTTGTATTGAGGAACTGCTCACAAATATACAAAGTTGGAGACTGAAAGTCCACCTTGACCTACAGTAAATATAATGTTATAACGGACTACAGTTGTTTTTGTTATTGATGTAAAGATCTTAACCATTACCATATTACTTAATAGTTCAGACTTCTCTCTCTCTCTCTCTTTCTTTCTTTCTCTCTCTCTCTTTCTCCTTTTGCAGAGATGGACTGAAGCTTGAAACTGAAGTGTTGGATGGAAAGCCTAGGCTAATTTTGGCTTCTTATGGTATTTTTTCAGTCATTTATCTGAAGTAATTTTTAAAGCTTCTTAAACTTCTAAGCAATATGAACTACAGCTTTATTGAAATATTCAGATTAGGAAGAATATTTGTCCAATGCTATTACGTGGCCCTCTTAACCAACTTGCCACTGGTCTAGGTTGATACTGAACATCTGAGTAGTCTGTCCACAAGTGAACAGCTGCCAAATTGTCTCGACAGTTTAGAGCTTGTCTGCCTTCATAAAATGTTAAGTACTATTGTATATAGACTGTCATAACTAGAGAACACCTGCAACTTAGTAGCACTTATTAACAAGAAAAAAGCAGCTTAGTAACTCCCTTCTTAATTTAAAATTCTATTATACCATGCTTTTGAATTTAAAGTAGTTTTAGTATCTGGCAACTGAAGTTTATCATTTTCAATGAGTTGTTTATTTAGGCCAGATCTCATTGCTACCACACTAAAAAAACTCTCATATGTTAATAATTAAACTTTATTAAAATCTAGGTTATTTTTTTATCAAACATAAACATTTATCAAATCTATACAAGCATAAAACCATTTTCTCTAACTGATGGCATTCAGGGTACAGGAATTCTCCATTTAATGCCCTCCAAATTATATTCCACTTTTTGCTGTCGAATGAGACATTATGAGAGTCAACAAGCAATACATCTACTGGAGACAAAACTTTGCCACACCTCTGAAACAGCAGCGCTACAGCTTTCACTTACCTCAAACGTAGCTCACATCATTTATGGAACATTCACTGACCCTATTCAGAGGTCTCTGAGATTAAAGCCTTGCCTTGGACTCTGAGCTAGCCTCAAAGAAGCAGTCTTCTCCAGGAATTAACAAGTTACCTTTACACAGCACTTCCTTAAATTAAACTGTTTCAATATTCAAACTGGGTGAATGAACCTAGTGAAGAAACGCAGTCCCAAAACACTCTTTATTATGGAAAATGTGAGATGGTTCACAATTTAATGCATGGCTCTCCGGGAGAGATTTAGCATACTCCCAAGTTTTAAAATGTTCATCTAAATGGAAGACTATTAATAGGGTGTTTTGCAGACAGTCTGAACAGTTAGTATTCTCCAATGCAAAAGAAATACAGGAGCTACCAGTGCAAAATGTATGACAACCACTGTCAGAGCAATGATTGCATAGTGCAGCTGAAGCAGCCTTCACAGATTTGTTCCACTAAAGTACCATCCCACTTGTTTTCTCCTTTTCCCTTACCCATGTGTGCAAGATTTCCCATGTTGAGTATCACATTCTATTAACCAATATTATAATATTCTTTATTATTAAGTATTATATTAAACATAACATTTTTGTAACCACCAGCTCTGTGCAAAACTTGGCTTAAAATACTGAAGAGTATGTATACTTCAGGGCAGCAATATGGGGGAACAGTAAAGGGTGGTGCGATTATGAAAGTGTTGTTTCTTTAGGCTGTAAGTGATGGAGACATAACATCATGTAGTATATGGGGTTGGATGCATGGACTGTACTGGAAAAATGCGACACAGAAAGCAAACCAAAAAAATAAAAATAAACAAACAATTAAAAATAAGCCATAAACCTCTGGGCTCTCTGGGAAGAAGAACAAGTAGCAGGGGAATATCAGACTTGTACAGTAGTTCTATAGACAACTGAAGATAGATACTGAAATATATCCAGATGGGTTTTTTGTTTTGTTTTCCAACATACTTTTGAAGTGTGTATTCTGATTTATTTTTTTTTTTTAAAGTAAAATAATAGAGGCAGATGTTACAGGGAAAGTACTTGCCCCACCTTACAAAATAGCAGATGACTATAATAGTTTGTGAATTTCTTAAGATCTCTTTTTCAGGAAGTTGCTGTTAAACACTGCTCTCATATATTTGTGTTTGTTTCCCAAAAGATAAATCAAGGCTTTCAGTGAAGGTAAGTAAAAAATTACTTCTCAATTACTTCATACATTATACTCTTCAATTTGTTAACAGACATTTGAAAACACAGTTGAAGTGTCTCAGTGTTTGTAATCAGTTATGTTTATGAAAATGGATTTCTCAGGTTCACATCATACAATATCCTGAGTTGAAATGGACCCACAGGGATCATTGAGTCCAACTCCTGGCTGAGCCACCTAAAAATTAGACCCTATGGCTGGCAGTGTTATCCAGACAGTTCTTGAACTCCAGCAGCTCAGTGCTGTGACCACTGCCCTGGAGAGCCTGTTCAGTGCCTGACCACCCTTTCAGTGTAGAACCTTTTCCTATATCCAATCTGAATTTAAAAAGAGTTCAACAACAACAACATCATCAACACATGGTTGAATTTTAAGTTATATGACTACTTTTACCTTTGCAAAATGCTTTAGTTTGCCAATCAGGAAGTCACCCAAATTGGAACTTTCAGAAACCCCAAAGGGATTCTGGTAAATATGATCTGAAATGTGTTTTAGTCCCAGTGTAGTTGTATAGGTTGTCCCTGTCTTAGTAAACTGGAATGCAGTGAGTGAGCAGGGGAACCAGAGCAAGCCTGTACTTGTGAGATAAATACGAGCGTGTATCAGGAAGCCTGGAAAGGGTAATGTTATTACAGAACGGAAGAGTCAAGACTGAAATAGTTGTGGCTGTTTCATGAAGACATATACCTGTTCAAAGCCATGCTTCAGAAATACCAAAGAAGAATGAAGGAATATTCATGGATTCTTTTAAATGTTATGGTGCGTCAAGTAATTTTTCATGTCATCTTTATATATTCAAATTTAGGTGCTGTATCCTCATTTAAGGTATTCCTAGCACTCAAAGATATTTCACTAGTTTAAACATAGTTTATAGTGATGGAACAGAAAGGAAAAATGACTCTCTTACCTGTTGCTTAAATGTTTTTGTTTGGTACTTCTGAGAATTTATTTCCTTAGCTTATTAAATATCTGGTGAAGTTTTTACTTTTTTTTTTTTTTTTTTAAACAGATGGGCAATAAAGGCAGAGTCCCTAAACAGGCATTGAGAATAAGGCATACTGGACATATTCTGAGGTCAACACAGAATGCCTGTATCAAGCAGGAAAACTTAGCAAAACCAAGGACTGAATCAAGCTTATCAATGACAAAAGGTGAAAAAATGCAAGTAACTAGACCTTCTTCAAATGAAGCCACAGATAGAGATCACTCTTTGATTTTTCAAAGAGATAACACAAACAGGAAGACTGATTCAGAGAATCTTGATGTTAAAAAAAGTAAGCAGAGACATCAAAATCCACATATACATGTATCAGCTGAAGACCTAGGAAATTTGGTGTGTTTAACACAAGAACAGCTTCAACAGATTTTGATGACTGTAGAAGAAGGAACTAGAAGCATCTTTGAGACTCATAATGAAAAGCAAGAGGAAACGGGTAAGGTGCATCCTGCTGTAAAAGTACAGTTTCCATACAGATAGTTGAAGTTTGTTTCATGGAAATGGAACTAAACGTGAAAGTTTAATTTTGAATTCATAATTTAAGTTTATTTGCATGCTGCAGAGATGTTACTCCATTGGTCTCTGACAACATACTATTTGCTACTATAGATATGAAATTATGAAATTGCCTGTTACTGTTTAGGAACCAAACATGTTAATGCTAACAGTAAAAATTAGGAATTGCTTGATAGTATTCTGATATTTTGCAGAGTAAGAAAGCAAGCAACTGCCAACATTTTGTGCTGAAATTAAGTATTTTACATTGAGGAAAAAGATACATAGTGGAATGGCACTGTACCATTACCATTATAAGTTTGAAAATAAAAAAAATCAACACACAGAGTTAGAACTTTCTGGTTGTATGAAGATTTTAGGTATTGCTATGCATCTTAAGAGCAGCAGTGACATTTTCCTCTGTCCCCAAGATATACATGCATCTTTTTGCCTAGCTGTAATACTACTGTTGAGTATTACTTGTTTTGCAGTCCTTATAGTGCCACGTGTGAAAACTATTGTGCATGTTCTTGTATTACATCTTTACTTCTGTTTGTAGACCTATGAAAGAAGTCAGCTCTTTGTCACCACAAACAAGACACACTGAAATTAAGTAATTACAAAATAGAAATTACTTTTACTGAGTAAAAAAGTCTGAGCTGTTTGTCAAGTAGAAGCATTTATTATAAGTCTAGCATTCAAAAAATACCCTGTGAAGTTTTAACTTACATGCCTTAAACATGCAAGCAGAGCTAAAAACCATTCTATTAAAGAATGTCAAGTTTGCAAGTTTCTTGTTTTTGAAGTAGTAAATATTGAGAAGTATTTAGTGGGCACACATGCTTTATTTACTTACGTGTAGATATATATATGTAAAAAAATGTAAATATATATATTTACATTAAAATGCGTTTGTATTCTACTGCAGCAGAGTCATCAGAGGAAAACACAAGCTTTTTGGAGAAATGCTACAATGAAGTTTCATCTGTTCCAGATGAAGTTAATTCTAACTCAAGCAGGAAACAAGAGTCATATCTGCAACAAGGACAGAAAGTTACGTATGTACATCTGTGTTATTGTCTACAAAAAAGTGTCCCCATTAATGATTAATATTGTTAATCTTCTTATTAAAGTAAGAATTAATATTCTTAATCACAGTAAGAATATATATAAAGGTAATTTTTAAATTAGTATTCAAAATTTAACAGATAAGCTTTTTTGTTATTATTTTTCTTCTATCCTCCTCTAGAAAGGAGTCATGGAAACCAGCTGACATGTTTACTACCTTGGGTGAAAGAGAAGGGGAGAAAGCCTTATTAGAATTTAAAAAGACACGATGGAAGAAAGAATTAGGTAATTATAATACAGACTATTTATATTTGATCAGTTTAATATGCTCAGGATGCCAAGAAACCTTGCATTCCTTATGCTTTTATAGATTTACTTGTATCAATGCAATTGCTACAAATTTGGAAGTTACGTACTTTTGTTCGTCTCTACAAAAGATTGACATTTATGAGTTTCAAAAAAAATCTGTGTAAAGAAAAATCTGTAACATATTGTGTGCTTCTGAACAAAATATTCTTGTAAACAAGTACATTTGTTTATACTTCATATTGTAGGAGTTACTGGCTACTGATTTGGTCACATTCTTTCACTCTGATAGCCATTATCATTAACAAACGAGTTTGTTTATTTTAAGGTAAAAGTGTTGCCTTATCTACCATTGTGACTGAATACTGGTTGCAATCTGACCTTGAAATAGTTTGCAGCCTTGCCTTATGCCTAACCAAAGGGAATCTGCAGCAAATTGAGAGTGTTTAACACAATAAAAAAGCTTAATTTGCCACAGGCTTTACATGATTGATATACAGGAGTGTTTTGTTTTCAGCTTGGATGTAGACTATTCAGTTTGATTCTGCACTGTTAGTAGTTTGCATTTAGTATTACTAACCCAGTGCAGCTATAGAGTAATCTTAGATTATTAGTATTAATAAAAAATGAGAGAATTGATTTTTTAATTATTATTATTTCTCTTAGTTTTCCCTCTCCTTCTCAGTTATTCTTAATCTTTCAGTGTTTGTAGTCTTCTCAGAGATTCCTGTTACCTCCACATCTCTGGGCAGAGACTCAGCAGCCATCCTCTTTAAGAGCAAAATCACCTTTAAAGTGATAGCTCACACAGTAGTGACTTCATCTAGCAGCCCTTCTTACAAACAAAACTGTAGAGCTTGTAGAGCCGGTGTGCCTTTTTAATTATTTATTTTAATAAATGCATCTACCTGCCTGTATTAGGAATTCTCACCAGTTTTGTGCACTTCCCTCCCCACCCTTCCTCCTGAAGATGAACAGGTAGCACTAAAGAAGAAGTTGAAAGAAACTTTAGAAGAAGAGGTGGGTTGTTTCTGGGCAAAATCTGGCAATGAAAAAACACATACTGAGAAGATGGGAACAGCTAACCCAGATAAGGTAAAGCTATCAGTAGAAACACTGAAGAACACAGTTTCCACTGCACTGTTCTGGAACTGTTCAATTTTTAATTCATACAAGATTTTCTTTTTTGTACGGATCCAGCAGTAACTGGTAGCAAAATCAAATATCAATGATTAGTTTAAGCTCTCTGAAGTGCTGTCAACTCCCTATATCAAACTTACCTGTTGCTCCAATTTGTTTTACAAATTAATATATTTATATCATGAACAACCTGTTTCTGTCTTTCCACATTGATTACTAACTAAAAGGTATGAATCTTTTCCAGCTCTGTTTTGAGGAATAATCTCAATGGTTATATAGTTATTTGCATTGTTCATTAGCTCTGCTTACAGAATAATAAGCATAGCCTTTTGACTTTTATTCTAAATTCTTTCAGAAAGTCAACTGTCACTTTGAGAATGCTGTGTCAGATAAACGCATTCTCAGGGGAGACTGCCTCTACAGTGAAATTGATTGCTTTCAGACAGGATAGCTTTGTATCTGCTGTCAGTTATTATAGTAAAAGCAAGTGTCTTTTGTGGCATACTCAGCATTGCTAGAAAGTGTTATCACCTTGCCCCCATAAGAGCTTGTACATAACATGTACAAACACACTGTACTCAATACATATTAATAGTTGCTACAAGTAATAGATTGGCATTTATCTTATTTCAGGAAGCTGTGCCACAGGAACAACCTTCAAAGCATGAGCAACAGAAGAAGTGGCTTGAAGAGCTGGACAAACAGAAGGAAGAAGCTAAGCTACGAAAAACAGAAGAAAAACTGAATTTATCAAAGGTATCTGTGGTTTAGAGGTACTTTTTGGAATAAGAGAAGTTTTTATTTCAACTTTTGTTCTAAGAAATAAGAGATAAAATCTTAGATCTAATGAACTAGCGACAAAGATGTAATCGAATGCAGCACATCCAGTTTTTCAATCATAAGCTCAAGAGAGCTGCCTAATTAGCCAATAGCTGTTCCAGTATTTTGGTGGCAGAAAACTGTGTGTCTAGTTTGATGAGAACAGTGGTATTACCTCCAACTCCTCCCCCCTCCTGACACATTGTAGTTTGAAAGCACCAGGGGCTGGAAGGTTTTGTAGAGACAATAGCCAGACACTGTGCAAAAAGAAAATTCCTGTAGACTACCAAAGAAGATGAGAAGAAAAAGGAGGAAAGTTAAAGACAATCACAGTGTGTCACAGTGGTGTTCACATCTTGTTTCTGGAAATACTACTTTAAGACATACATATGCACACATGTACACATTAATGAAGCTTTTTAAACATTTCTACTCCAAAAAGGATCGAAGAAAGTAGCCCTTTTTTATTCTTCAGTTTTTTCGGTCTGTTGAACAAAGGATCTCAAAGGAAAACTGTGGCCAATATAACTGCTTTGCAGGTCAGATATGTGGAGACTTAATACCCTTGACTGGTTTGGGCAAGATGTCTCACACCCCTTCAGGTTCTTTATATGGAAGAAGACTTACTTCCTTTACTGTTATTATTTCTATCTTACTACTGATTTTAAGTTAAGTGAAACATTCTGTGTTCTTATACGGACCAATATTGACATGCTCTTCTAAAGTCTCTTGTCTTTTGAAATGAAGAAACACTGTACTATAGCTAGAATCCAGATTTCCAAATTGCTGTGTGTAGCTTTAACCCAGGATCAAACAATCCTCTTGCTATGTATCAGGTATATTCACTATTCTCAGTATTATTAGTGAACAAGAATCCCAGTTACCAAAACTTGCCTGATATGAGCATTCATAACCTACAAACTTCTGTATTAAAAGGCTGCAGCTTTTACTTTGAACTAAAGCATTTAATACAGCAATTACACAATCTCTGCACAGAAACTCATCATTTCAGTTCCGTAGTTCATAATGCTAGAAGAGAGCTTTCCTAACCACCTCCAAAAAAACCCACCTTCTTGCTAAGGTTGGTCACGTTCTTACAGGTGACACCACTTTGCAAACTGAGCTTTATGTTATGAAAGCAACACAGCTGTGAAAGGTCCCAGCATTAGCTGCCTCATTTTTTTAATTTGATAGCTGTGCCCTGGGGAGATGGATGTAGTTACCCAAGTTACAGTAATCTCACTTCTAGCCCCTTTTGAAAGAAAGCTACATGTACTTAATCTTGTTTACTTCAGCATCTTATTTTCAGGTCTTGTGTCACACTCTCAGCCTTTCTACATATTTCACTACAGATTTACATAAGAATAAAATAGATTTTTTTAACTGCTCTTGTGTGGTTCCACATTAATGTGCTCAAAGGAAAGGCAAAACTTAGGAAACAGGAGAAAGAATTATTTGGATTCTTATTATTATTTGGACTAAGTGTTTCTTGTGTCTTTTTAAATAGGTATAAAACTTTGCTTAAAGAAGGTGGCTTTTTGTTCAAGGAAGTGACTCGCAGAAAGCTTTAAGTGGATTACGTTAGTTTGTTTTCTGCAGAATGCAAAATTTGAGGGAGCTGTTCTCCAGGCCTTCCAGAGAAACAAATCTTTTATTGAAAAGAAAAAAACAATTTCAGTACCTACAGCAAAAACAAAGGTCCCTTAGGTAAAAATCTTCTATTAATGAAATATTAAAATATTCAGTTCCCATCATGATGCCAAAAAAATAAGCTCAGGTGGTACAGAATGTAGACTTAAAAAGCCAATATGCTACCTCTAAAGAAGTTTCAGGTACTTTGCTAGGATTCTTGTGTTTAATTGAAAATGACGGATGGCGTGGGTGGAAAATAATGCTTATTTTACAATGGGCCTGTCAAGCTGAAAACAGGAAGAGTAACATCTCTGCCCAATGCACAGTAATTCTGCTATTGTCCACCATTAAAGTAGAGGCGGTAAATGTGGGCCGGTGTAAAACATGCCACTTGTTCATGTTATCAGGGAGAGAATATATAGATTTTCAGATGTTCCTGTTGTACAAAATACGTATTGTCTAACTCTTTTGTTAACCATGCTTTATAGAAACAATGTAATTGAGCACATTTCCATTTTTTGTTGCTTCATATTTATTTAGGCTGAAGAGCATGACAGATGGGCAATGCATTTTGATTCTTTAAAGAACCACCTTAATGCTAATGCACAACACCCTTTAAATGGAATGTACAAAAAGCAGCCTGAAAGTCTTTGCCTGTCACCTGACCCTAAGGAGCTGACTGCTTTTGTTCACCCTTTTTCACCTGCAGCTTTAGGCAACCTCATGCCCTCAAAGGTGGAAAATGCAGAAAAAGTTGCTAAAAGCAGTGCTTTGGATCACAGTCAGAAAGTCAGGTGAGTGAGCTTTGAAAGGGTAATCATCTTCCCAGCTAATTCATTTCTGTCACCTCCTCAGAAATTAAAAAAAGTGCTTGAATAAGATCCTTTAAAGCTGATCATTAGATCTGTCTCATCTAGCTTTTGCTTTTTTTTCAGAATTACATGTTGTTTCACCTTTGCGAGACACAAGTGCCGCTGTTGTTCATGAATAAAATTTACTGCAAGGTTACTTTCTTCCTTACTCATTACAATGAACTGTATTAATTAATGCGATGTGATAACCTCGATATGAAAATATTACTTGAAATCTAACTGAGACTTCTAATTAAGAAAGGCTTTAGACTTTCCGTTTTATGATTAAAAACATATACACATTTTCTTGTTTGTAGTTTCCTTCGTTCAATGACAGCTCTCCTGGATCCTGCACAGATTGAAGAGCGAGACAGACGGCGACAGAAACAGTTAGAACATCAGGTAGATTTCTGTTTTAAAGATTAATGACATTGTAATGAGTGGATGAAATGTAGTTTTGTCATATGAATAAAGCATGACATTTAATAATAGTGAGGCAGTTGACTCTCATTCTTCAGATCATGTTTACAATTGTTTAACATTATTCCTCTCAGAGTCTACAGTTTTTTAATATTTGTACGGAGTTGATTGCATTTCTGTGACAGAATTCTCACCTCAGAAAGACACAACACAAACTTTAGAGCTCTAATAGGTTTTGTGCACATTTTTTTTTAGTCTCCACTGTCATCAGGAGTACTGATATTTGCATATACCCCTTCCATGAATTTTGAAATTTTATCTACTTTACTGCTGCCATTCCCATTACTTTTTGCACTCTTAACTGAACATAAATCTTCATGAAGATGTCTATAGCACAATGTAAATAAATCTTAGTGTAAATGTAATGATTCTATCTGCTCAAACTGTTGTTCTTGCTAGATCAAAGTATATTAGATAAAAATCAGACCACTATTTCTTCACAAGCAATGTACAAAACAATTTTTGAAGATAGAAAAAGAGATTTGTTTATCTTTGCACATTTTGTCTTCAAACTGCTTTGCTGGGCTGGTAGTTCTAAAAAAATGGGAAGGCAACTACATATCTTTTGAGAAATTAGAACAAAAAAAGTGTTTGAAATACTTTTTCGTTAAGAATGAACTGTTAGTTATTTTCTCTAGTAATATCACACAAACTAATAAATTGTCTTGAATAAATTGTCTCTCTTTTAATGCTTCCAAATCCAAACATTATACACATACATGGAAGTATATGAGTAAATAGATTGTAATATCTTCAATTTTATACCTTTTAATTCTACTTTTTATGATATTACCAGAAAGCAATAATGGCTCAGGTAGAAGAAAAGCGGAAGAAGAAACAACTGGAGGAAGAGAAGAGAAAATGGGAAGAACACGAGGAAGAACAGCGCCTAGCACGAGAAAAAGAACTGATACAAAAACAGTTTGAAGAAGATATGCTTAAACAAAAACAAAAAGAGGTGGTTTTCTGTATTTTGCTTAATGCAGATAAATGGACATTTTTTACTGATTTATCTGTATGTACTAAACTTAGAAGCTATGAATAGAGGGAAGACTATGTTTTGATTATTCTAGTATATTACTTTGATATATTATTTTTAAGTAGAGTAAAAGATGACAGGATATATTTTGAAACTGTGCAAGGGATTTTGCCACATCTCCACTAACATGACCATAACTGCTCTAAAGCATGAACAAAAGTCCTTCAGAGTTTCAAAATGATAAACAGACTTCTGCCTACCAAATTCAGAGTCTGTAATAATACTATTTTTTGAGGAAAACAGTTCCTCACCTTCAAAATGGTACTGCCTCCTCATTTTGAAAATGAAAACTACCTGAAATTTCTACATTTGAAACCAAAATCTGTTTCCTCAATTAATATAGTACAATATAGGTTTAAGGCAAGTTTTTTTTTTTGGACAAGGGCCTTTTCAGAAAGATGAATGAATAATAACTGGCAAAAATGCACTTGTGGTTTTAAATAATGTAGAAAAATACATTTTAAACATAAATTTTAAATTAAAAAAATACCACAAAGTCTGCGATCCAATTATTGTTGTTGATAAGTTGATGCTTTTAAGATGGTTCAGTATCATGAACTTTATCTAACTGGATGTGCTTTTACTCTGGATTAAAGAGTTTCCAGAATATAATTTGGAAAAATTGTTTAAAAAGTTGTTGATGTTCTAGAACTTTCACCTCTGTAACTATTGCTGAACTTTCAAGCTTGTTTCATTTAAAAATTAAACTGAAAGTAACATTTTGACCTTTGGTGTACACAAATTTGACATTTTTATATATTCTTAACCTCTTACAGAAGAATCTGTAGAAGGTTAAAGCCATACTCTTCTTTTGGCACAGTAGCAGCTATAAGTGTTAGCAGAATTCTGCGATGTCATAAAACAGACTGTTTTCAAAAGCATAGCCTCCTCAAGAACCTGCAGAAATACGGATGCTTGATTTCTCTGCATTTTCTGGAGGGAAAGGTATAGAATCTGCGCATAGATGCTAGAAGAAACTGCTAAAAATTAGGAAAAGTCATATTTCTATGTAATCGCTCAGCTCCTTCCAAACATGTCATGCTATCAGTTTTGCTTTCACTGGCAAATGCAATGGAATTGGGGTATGAGATGGTAGTATCAGTTTGGATAGGAGTTGTTCCTTGGCCCAGTCATCTTGAACCCACCGGGTCTAAAAATATAAGCCTCAGATTTAGGGATGTTCTGCCTTTGTTAGGGAGCTTTCTACTGCCTCCTTTCTGTGGAAATAGGAGGAAGGATTCTTATTTTTATTTGGGCTTTTATTTCATTAAACCACATTGATGATAGATAGCTGAAATCAGATGACATTTATGAAAGGATTAATTTATCAGAAAGGAGTTAAATATCCAAATAAGTAAGAGGATCCAAATAAGTAAGAGGATCTAGATGCTGGCTTTTTAATGCTTGGATTGAATGCCTTTCATCAGCACAGCAGAATGCAGAGCTTCTGAATTTACCATTAAAAACTTAAATGTTAGGTATTGTGTCTACTCAACTAGTTCTTGTTGTTTTTTGTTTTTTTGTTTTTTTTTGTTTTGTTTTAAATGCTTTACTCAAAAAAAGAATGTATGTTGACATGATTTCTGTAAACGTTGGGGTTTATATGGAGGTTAAATAATCCTATTTTATTCTCAAATGATCACTTTTTTTTTTTTCTAAAGGAACTTGTGACTCTTAAAACAAATGAGATCTATCACACAATGCAGAAAGCTCAAGAATTAGCACAGAGATTAAAACAAGAACAGCGTATTCAAGATTTGGCTCAGAAGGGACATGACATTTCAAAACTTAAGAAGAATCTTGGTGGCAAGTACCAATCTTTTCATATTCAGTTTGCTTGTTCCTGTGGTGTTTGCACACGAGGTGCCAGTGTTCTTTCTTTGTCAGTCTGCTTTTGTAATAAGGCTCCTTTGACTCAGGAATCAAATTCCATTTCAGTTTATTTAAAGAGCCTTCAAAACAATGTCGTTGTTAACTAATACTATGAGTACTGTATTTTAGTATATTACTATTATTATATAACTTCAAATGCTACATTGCATACAGGAAGAAATATAAGGCTGTCACCAGGAAGGCATATGGAATATTCAGACCTATAAATGGTCAACTTGATTTTCAGTGAAACAGGCGGAGTATTCAGATCTGAATCATAGTTCTCAACCTTTTGCTTTGTGTTCTAAGCAACAATAGTTCGATAACCTGATAGCATAGCTTAAATGGAATATATGTTGCTACATTTTTAAAAAAAAAGCTACATTAAAAAAAAAGCCTTGATTCTTTTTAGGTGACACTGAATTGGAAAATTGTAATACTGACACTTCATATCAACGTCATAACTTTTCTGATGACATTAGCAGTAATATTGATCGGCAGACTTCTCGGAAAGACACCGCTGTACAGACAGGTACACAGCCCTTCCACTTAATTACCCTGGTGTACCGAAATACAGGCAGTGGAACAGCATATTGGTGTAACTTAGCAACGGGGCCAAATCACTGTCATTCAGAATGGAATAAAGCTAGCAAGAAATACTTGGACAGACACAGGCATATTAGAATATTACCATATATCACTGTATTCTAAATAAACAATATGCCTATATAGTTGTTACCTGCCAATTACAAAGTCAAATCAGCCAGTCTGAAGTATGGTGTTGGCTTAGTCATGGTTACAAGCCCTGCAGGACTAAATTTATTAAGGCATTTAGTTATATATTTTAGTAATTTTCAGTGTGAATATTCACAGGCTTATATAACATGCTTTGGTATCAAGCTGGGATAAATCCTTGAAGATGCTGACAGAAATACTGTCATAATCCTGGAATTAGAAAACTAGACTAATTGGAAAATGAAAGGTTATATTCAACCGTTTAGAAAAGCTTTTTATAATTCTTCCTAAATATCCAGACAAAATTGTGGGTCTATGTAGATGGAATACCTGCTGGTCTTTATCTTGATTATGTATCACACTATTAAAACAAACAAACAAAAGAAAAAATAAGTATGATTCTATGTCTATTATTCTATGAACTTAGTATACATTCATTCATGTTGTAGGTGAGGCCTCAATGAGTAGATTGAATGGAAATATACCTTGTATATTTACCTTGTATATTTACCTTGGAAATTTACCTTGTATTTAGAAAATTATTAGCTTTTTAACACTTGAGAAGAGAAAGCTTTAATTTATTTGTATTTGCATAAGCAAAAATTAATAATTTTGGTTTTGATAATGCTGGTAGAAATTTTACTAGAAATTCAGAGCATTTACAAAGTAATTGATATTTTTGTATATGCCAATTAGTAAAGAAAGAGGCTGGATTTTCAGTAATTTAAAAATTGAACAAAATATTTCCATTGGAAGACAAAGATTAGGAAAGTAAGTTTCTGATAGTAGCACTCTGATTATGACCAAACCATCAGCATTCTAAAGTACTAAACAGGAGCTGTATTTTGCTCTTAACCAGTGGGTACCAGGGATAAAACTGAATTTGGCATTTTAAGATAATATAGTTTCATTTTACTTACAGTTTAACTTTGCAGTGACTTGATTTTGTTCTCTAATCTTTTTTTTTCTCCTTACTCAAATTGCTTGTATTGATCTTATATTTTTCCACATCAAAAAGGATAAAAATCACCATAAAACTGTAGCAACTGGTTTTTGAATAAAATCAGCAATGGTAGATTGATGTGCAGACGACATTCAAACAAGTTATTTGAATAACTTATACTTGAAGTTAAAATACATTTTTTTTTAGATGACTGTAATACTTCAGCATGTATTGATTCAGTTGAGGGAAGAACTATGTGTTGTGGATCACCTGATATTTCCACAGAATATAAGGAAACCTCCAACAGCAACAAATATCAGAAAGAAATGCAGTATACAGATAAAAATAAAATTTCAGGACAAGAGAATGGTGGCATCTACAGTGAGCTATACGAACAATATGCAAGAAAAGAAAGACAAGTTAAATCATCAGAAAAAAATACTAAAAGACCTGACTGGAACATAAACAAGCCTGGGAAAAGATATATTCCAGCATCAGAAAGATACCCTAAACAGCTACAAAAACAGAGGGAAGCAAACAAAGTGAGACGGCAAATGGAGCTGCTTCAGCTGGTAGAAAGAAATACCCCTAGGAATCTCTGCCCAAAAAACAGATCTCCTTCACCTCACGAAGAAATGAACATGAAGAATAAGAGACATAGGATCAGAAAGGTAACTACATTTTCTCTAGCACAAATGATGAGTATTTTTAAGACTTACTTCACTCAGTTCTGCCTGGATGTAACTCAAGCTCTGAGAATTTTCACCTACCCTTTGCGTAAAGAACAGTACTACAGCAGTGTTTTGTTTACTTTGTGTTTCTGTTATGATCAGAACATCTTGATTTTTGTCATTTATTGTTGTTTCATTCTGCCAAAGCATGTATTTGATATAGTTTATTATTGTTTCATTATGTAAAAAGGGAGCTGGATTGAAAGTAGTATGTGGGATGAAATGGTATCACTGACTTGAGCATTTCTGTCCATTGTGTAGTGGTGCTGGTTAATAGATCAGGAGTACCTGTCCAGTTCTTATTTCTGCAAAGAATCCGTGCTACTGAGGATGTACTCTAATGTCATAAAAATGTATACTTCTTAGCGGAGTTGGGTTTTTTTCTTCCCCATTTGCAGTAAGCATGTGTAGCATGTGGCTGGGAAAAAACAATTCTCATATAACAAACAATTCTCATATAAAAAACAATTCTCATATAAAGAAATACTATAAAATATATTCCTGCCTGCTCTCTCTCTCTCTGTATGTATGTATACATACATAAACACCTACATTTCTCTCACCTGCCAGTAGAAAAAATGCTGGTGTTGAAAAGGTGTCCACCTTAATATTGTTTAGTCATTTGCTTATTATGGCTACATACACATATTTTAGAAGCTGTGGGTAAAAAAAAAAAAATAAAAAAAAAAAAAAAGGTTTGTGAAATTACATAGCTAGATAGCTGTTCACATAGGTGCCTTTGAAGATTTATTCATCTGTTAAACCAAGTTTGTTGGTTTTTAATTAGATTAATAGTAAATCATATGATTAACGGTAAATAAGTTTTGCATGTATGTTATTGAAAGCTAAATTTTCAAAAATTCCTTTCCTGAAAAAAGGGCTAATGAATTTTAAGCAGATTTTTAAGACAGTTAAGCTGTGCGTGATACCATAAGAAGAATTTTAATTTAATTAGAAAACTTCTACTGACTGTATATAACAATAGGACCTTTCCTTTATTAATCATTGCTTTGGGCTAAACTTTTCAGGAATTTCAGAACAAACTTGTTTTGAGAAATTACTGTGTTTAGTATAAAAATATGGAGGGTTTTTATTTTACTTTTGACTTTCTTGGTTTTCTCCTAGGAAGAACAATTACATAAGAATAATTTGAATGAAGAAAGGTATGTCAATACTCTGCCTTAATGCAAAGTATAAATATATAGATAGTAAAATATGCATGCTTTTCTTTCCGGATTTTAACTGTTTTAAATAATTTACATGCAACTAGTTTTCTACTATTAAAAGTACAGAAGAGAAGACAAAACAAGCTAGTTGTAAACAATAAATAGCTAGTATAAAGGCAAAGTAACAGAGCAGAAGTGCAGTCCTCTGAGCGTTTTTGTCTACTTTTTAAGAAACTTAATCATATTACTTTTGTATTTTTTATATGTTAACTGAAATTGTTTCATACAGGTCTGACTCACCTGTTCCAGCAGTTAAGAACAGGTTACACGAAGTACAACAAAAACAGACACATACTTCTAATTTCCTGGTGCACAACAACAATAGTAGAAGAGAGAAAAATATCAAGACAGATGCACAGCAGAGGAGCTCCCCTCCCCTAGTTACAGAAGCTGGAAGACCTCCGTCTTCACAGTTCATTCCGTATGTTCGAACAAATGAAGTGTATTATCTTGATCCAGAAGCACCAGTGACTAGACCTTCAACACATGACCCACAATATCAACAGTTGAATGGTACTGAAATGTATTATGATCTGATTCATGTAGAAGAGATGTTGGAGTGATTTAGTTCAACGTACTACATGTTGTTCAATTTGATATCTGTTTTTCACTGAATTCTGCTGTAACCCATGTTTGTCAGAGCACTGTACAGAATGCCTATACAACCAAATTTATACTTTGTATTAAAAAAAAAAAAAGCAAAAAAAAATTAATTCTTTTATCTGTCCTTTTCTGTTTGTTTGTTTATCTTTACTGAACTACAGTTGCACTTCTCTGGCATTACTACGTACAGATTTTGGTCTTAGGAACCTAAGTTGTATTTGACTTAAAGTGATCACAACCTAATAGCAACCAAAACCTGATTTTCACAAGCTGTGAAAATCTAGTACAAAATTAGAACAAAATGTATAGGAGTATTGTTAACTGATTTGATATGTATTTATTTTTAGATTCTTACCAAACACCACGACAGATTTTTAGCTCTGATCACACTAGAGATCCTCTTCTAAATCCTGATGTAGTTAAAATCAGAGAGAGACAACAAGCAATTCTCAAGGGACTGTCAGAATTACGCCAGGTAAGCAAAAAGTCATTGATAAACATGTGTGTCTACATACCGAAGTCAAAATGAACATTGCAAACTATTACATAGTCATAAGTCATAGTCATTTTTAATTCATTTTTTTTTCTATCCTATAAGTTTTGGGCCTGGACCTCTACCTTTCCTCATTAATTTTGCTTTAGTTAATGCATTACTTCCATCCTTGGACTCTTAAGGACTATGAACTATGTAGTCCTTAGATTCACTATGATAAGGTGGAATACCTGAGAAAACTTGAAAACAAGAGGAATAACTTTATTACTGTCCAGGTATTGATATAGGATTACCTATAGTAAAAATGTTTCAATATCAAAGGGAAAAAAGGACAGTATTTTAACAGAACATTCAAACCTTTGTTATATGACTGGTAAGCCACTCATGCCAGAGTTACGTAGATGGCACAGAAAGTTAGAGGGGTGGTAATCAAGTATCAGGCGTGGAATATTCCAATCTGTAAATATTATGTGTGAAAATCCTTATAAAATCTTTCCGAGTTAGCTGTGTTTTTGCTAATGTTTAAAATTCAGGATTTGTCAAATCAGTCAGGTGTTGTGAGTAAAAAGAAAATGTAATTTGGTGTAATAACACAGGCAACCAGAGGCAAAAGCCTTTTGCCTGTCTATGTTTGTATACATTGTTCAATTTGTAGTAAGTCACCGGTAACTATTAGGTCTTCAGGATTGCCCAAGTGTTTTTGAACAAGGCAAGACTGTCTTTAAGTCTTGCTACACATTGCAGTAGATTAAAGAAGCACAAAGGTTATAGTTGGTAACTGTGAAGTTATGTATTTTTCTGTTTGGAGTCAGAATACCAAAAAAAGGATACTGTCAAGCTTCAAGTTATTAAAACATGAGTGAATTTGATACTCAACCTGCTAGCAGTGAACTGTGGTCCAGAGTAGGTTCAAACCGCAGGCCTGGACAATCACAAGAAGAGTTTTCTTTCATGCTTCTAAATGGTCTGATAGAGGACTGCAAGACAAAAAAGAAAATTTTTCTTTAGGTTTGCAATTCTTCCTTGAGGACTATTAAAGATATGTATGTATTGGTATCATCCTTTTTTTGAATGACTGCATAGTGATACTAGTGACTTTATTATTAGATTGTTAGATCTAATTAGATTGTTTTGTGATTAGATTGTTTATTATTAGAATATTAGATTGTGACTTTTATTAGATTTTTTTTATTAGATTAGTGACATTTATTATTAGATAGTTTTTTAGAAAAATTATATATAGCTGAAAAGTAAATAAATGTATAAGAAGACATATAATAAAGCATATACATAGGAGCACTATTAATTTTTCGTCAGATTAAAGGAGAAAATTGTGTAAATGATCCAAATTAAAGAAGGAAACTGACAGACTTAAGTACAATGGAGTACCATTAGTTATCTCCTGGTCTGCTTTAGAGAAACACATGTGCATACCTAGTGCTTCAGTAGCAAGTAAATCCCTTGCACAAATGAGGTGTCAGCCATGGCATACTTAACCTGTAATTTTAGAAAAGATGTGACACAAGAACACTGAAGGGTCAGTTTCTCATGACTTCCAGGTAGATTTCCCTAGATAGATGACTTTCTTCATAACTAGAACAGGTCTTAATGCCCATTAATATTTTTGTTAAATATCCACAACTTCCAAGTGTTTTGTATTCAGACTTCATTTGCCAATTGTAGTTCAGTTAAGAATGAAGCCGACGTCTTCAAAGCACAATTTGAGTTTTGTGCATGCTGAGGTGAACAAAATCCATGAATATTTAATGAGGCTTAAAGTGGTAATATCATTGTTGGCAAATGTAGGAGACACAAGCTTGGGAACATTTTTGCTGCACAGTGAGTATTCAGGCCCTAACAATATCTAAAAACTAACATTAAGGGTAGTCTTTCAGTGAAGGTTGGTTCTTGAAGAGTTAGAAGTTTTTTAAGTTCTTTTTAAAATACCCTAGCAGCCACAGAATGCATTTGGGACATTACCTGTTGAACTGAGGTGCTCTATCTGTTTTGGGTTGGTTATTTCATTGAGAAAGACTGAATAGTGCAATATTTTGTATGAAATATAAGCAAGCCAAAGAGCAGAGCTTAGTTTTTCTATTTTAGGAGATAATCTAGTCTTGTTCTTTTAAATGATAATATACACAATTTTATGTATATATATCTATCCAATTAATAGTTTCAGAATACACATATATAGCTATATTTGGCCAGTCTTTAGCCTTTAAAACCCATATAGAGTATATAGAAAAATATGATCAGGATGTTTTAGTAACAGTGTAGCTGAACTCACTGGACCCTGGATACACCAGTGAATACTAAAGGGCCACGAGGGCCCTCTTCTGCCCAGTGAAGGATCAGTCTGTAATGGCATTGTTTACAACTCAGCAAGTCTCCCTTTGTCTTAGTTGCTCAGTGAAGTCTTCTGTATTTCAGGTGATGGCAGTAATAAGAATTATCAGCAGACTTTAGTTTTCTTGCTTAAATCAAAGTTGTCAGTGGAATAAGCCTGAGTTTCTTCATCCAGCAAAGTGGACTAAGTATTTGTGAAAAAAGAAGAGTCAACACTGTGTTCTCTTTTTTAAAAGACACAACAGCTACAAAACAGTCAGTACATACCAGAACATCTTATTTTCCTAGGGCAATAAAAGCACAATAAAAACACTTGCTAGCAGGTTGTAGCCTATAATGGCTAACTGAGCTTGCTGACTACCAGCAGGCTGTCTAAGGACAGGCAAAGCAAGAAAGCAAGAACTTGTTACTTGTCCCCGTGTGTGTATTTTCCCTTACTGTCCTCTAAAGCCCTTTTACAATACTTGTGAATAGCCCTTTTTTTTTTCTTTCTTTTTTTTGGAGTGGTCAATGTTTGTTTGTTTTTTTTTCACTTCAGCTCAGGGCCATTTTAAGGCAAAAAAAATACTGCTTTTGTTTTGTAACTTGCTACTAATTGCAATAACACTCTATAATAAGCGTCATTGTTGCAAAGGGACTAAATAAGTCCACTGACTTATTAACATAAATAGTAGTTACTGCTGTTGATTAGTTAAAAAAAAAAAAAAAAAGTAATTTATCAAGTAAGTGAAAGTAGGCAGCTGCTGCTTTTGAAATAATGCAAAGTCTAACAGGCTTCTATGCTAACTTAAGCCTGTTCTGTGTGATCTGTCTCCCCTTCTGTGCCACTAGGATGACCAGTTGTTGAGGTGCTGAGCTGTAACATCAGCCTAGAACCCTTATCATTGATAAAGGTCTTGCAATCTAACATTGTTACCATTGCAGCTTTTCTCTTAATACTGTCTTGGTACCATACTTCAGACAGATCTAAAACAGATAGCAAGGGGTCACATGCAGCTCCTCATATGATCCTGTTAATCACAGTAAAAAGACTATTTCAAATTTATGAATGTACCTGACACAGCTGATATGTATTACTTATACACATGGCCAAAGATACAATCGTAAGGATTTTTGTTACAGGTTTTCTCAATTTTCTAGTACCAGAGCAGGAACCTTTTACGTTTGAGCATAAATATGCACATCCTCATACTTCTGTCACTGTTCTGGGTCAAAAGGTCACACTCTCCTTTGTCTTAGAGAATAATCAATGCTAATACTACAAGCTGGTACCTACCAAGTTCTGGGGTTTGGCTGCATAAAAGACCATGCTAGAATACTACAAGCGTAGTGATGGCGCACAAGACAGTAAGTTAATACAATGAAAATGCCATGTCTCTGCTGCATAGGCATCCCTGGAAACGTTAGGCTGGGCTACGACTTCAGTCACACTTCAGCAAGCCTTTTGCACGAATCAGGAAAGCCTGAGTTCCCTCCCTTATGAATGCGTTACGTTGTACTGCTTTAAGGTGTGTGTTTAAACAGCATTGCACCTCACTAGCACACTTATTAGTTCAGGCTGCATAAGGCAGGCAGAGCATTCATGTTTATATTACATTTATTTCAGGGCCTCCTACAGAAGCAAAAAGAGTTGGAGTCTGGACTAATTCCCACCATAACTCAGGAAGAGAATTTTATTTCACCCTTTTGAAAGGTACATGTAACTGTACGAGTTCTTAAAAATGTAAAGGCAGAGCATGTTGCTAATGTAATTAATTGTGAACCATTTTATTATGCAAATTTTGATAGTATTACAGGGTTACATTGCTTTTGAGATTGAAGATACATTAAACTAATGATGTTGTGTAGAAAGGTCCTCATACTACATGAAGACACGTCCATTTAGTAGAAACCACCAAGCCACTGTACAAAAATGGATGTATATGGTACTGTTTATGCATTTTTTGATAAATAAAAAGATTAAAGAATCATTCCAAATGGCTTCAGGAGTTGGTAGGTATTTTTAACCACATAAAACTGCTTGTACTTACTCAGACAGGTTTTAGGCTTAGACAAATTAATTGTCTATGAACTTAATCTCAGATTTTAACACCTCAGCACTGCTGATTGCAACATGCACACATACCCCCCCGGCCCCCGTTAAAACAGGATAGCAGCACTTAATGTTGTAAGTGGTGGGTCCAAAATAACAGACTGCAGTTTAAAGAAGTCAACTTATAAGTAGTCTGAACAGGTCAGCATTCAATACTTCCAGCCAGAATAGGAACAAATGCATTTAAAATAAATATTTTAGCCTTCAAGAGAAAGGATAATTTGGAGTAAAACATTTTTTCTTCCAGATCTCTGCAGAAGATGCCTAACCTGAATTAATTTTAGTTGATATGCAATAAAACCACTGAACCTCCAACCAAAGATTCCTTCTAGGAGCAACTGTTTTTTAGAAATAACCTGACTATAAAGGTACCTTACAGCAGTAGCTGAGGGAATAAATGTGCACTCTTTCCTCTCCCTTTGCATGCCAAGTCATGTAATAGGTGAGAATCTATAGTTGACATTATACTTGGTAAAACAGTTTTTCCACAAAATTCATTATCAGTTTATTGGTACAAGGGCGTTTTTTGGGGGTTTTTTTTGATAGATTACTTGCCTGGTAAGATAACTGCTAAACTACTTTGGTCATGGTTTGTTCCTAATTTAATAAGTGAATCAAACAATTAATAGAAGAGAAGCTATTCAACATCAGGGAAAAGTGTACTTTTTTGTTTTGAAAAAAAGACTTTGGACAACTCGAAAACAAAAACTGTAAACGTAAGAGTCAGGGTTTTAGCGTATGTAAAGTCATCAGTGAAACTAACCAGGTAATTCTGACACACCAGAGCTACTTTTCTATCAGCTACTGTTCTCCAGAAGCCTTTGAGTCAGAAAATGCTGCATGACATGAGTGAATTACAGAATTGCTATAGAAAATGCAAGGTTAACTTAGCACATGGGAAACTAAAAAGGACAGCATTAAGAAACAGATCTCCGTGTTTATGACAGTACTAGTTTTAAAAAGGAGAAAAGCAGAGTGATCGCTATGCTGAAGGAGAGGAGTGAGGATTTTCTAGTGCAAAGCTGAACTGCCACTGTCATTAAGACTAGCTTTGTCCTTCTCATTACTCTAAAACTACAATGGGAAATAAAAGTTGTAAGATCATTCTGATGTTGTTCTAATAAGCACGCAGCTTCAAAATTAGACAAAGATAATTGCTAGATATGAAATAAAATTTGGGTACTTTTTTGTGTACTTTGAAAACAGTATAAAAACCACAGACAATGAAATGTGTTAGCAAGTCCCTTGTGCATTAAGAGTTTATTTTATTTTGTAATGGAACCGCACCATTAATCTAATTGAGGTATTTTTTTTCCAAAATCCAGTCATTAAAATAACTACGCTGCCTTATGGCTATGTAAAAACATTTGTACAAAATAGTGTCAAATAAATACAGAAGTTTTGATATTTATGTAAAGAAAAGTGATTTGGATACTCTTACAGTTAAAGAAAACTTGCCGTTTCAGATATTTTAGGCAAACATTCAGTTTTACATTAAAACAGACTTCAAACTGAAGCCTATGTACAGGTCAAATACAAATGTAGAAACTTAAAAGTGCCAACAAACAAGATAATTCAAGTACAATAAATGTTAAAAAATATATATATTTATTTCAATTTTCAGATGCTTCCAACAGGTACAGGCCATCATGGTTTAAATAAGACAAGAAAACATTTGAGATAAAGGACAAGAAACATATTGTTCCAGAATAAAATAGAAATTGTTAATTCACCATTCTAGAAACAGAAAAGTCCACATCAACTTAAAAAAAGACTTACGAGTTTATTTCTGTTTTGAATATGGCCTGGAAGAATCACAATTTATATCCCAACCACCAGGCGATGATGACTTTTCTGTATCCATGCTTTGACTGTAAGCAGATAGAAAATAATTGCCCCCTTCTTGGTTTTGATTTGCAGAAATCGGGTATGTTGTTCCCAGAAAAGTCTGATGAGTGAGTAAATTAAATTGACTGAATTGATGGGACATGTTTAATTGTCTGCTGTAAACTTGGAAGTTACTAGAAGGAGCTTGTTCAACTGAGTTCTGTTTTCCTCCTTCAGCAGAACATGTTGTAGAAACTGGAGGAATTGGCTGTATTTCTTTCAAGTCAATTTTAGAAGTCTTTTCCATCAAACCAATTTGTGCTTCAGGAGGTAACTCTGGAGCTGATACACAACTTTCTTTTGTATCTACTCCGTGTGAGCCCTTGGCCTCTGTCTGCAAAGCTTCCAAGCGACATGTATCATACTTGGAGTCATCATTGCAGATTTCTATTTGTGATGCTTCATCCCCTGAATCCAGAGACATGTCCTCCTCATCCTTTTCATCGTTTTCTACAAGAACTACATTAAAAAAAAAAAAAAGTCCTATTCTATTGAAATACAAACTTTTGTTAGAAAAGCTATACACTACTCACAGAGTGTTATGCTTCAGGTCTGTAAGTCCATTATCACTTAAGTCTTGGTCTTCTGCCACTCTTGTTCACTTACTCAACATACACACTTAACCCTCTGTGTGAATGTCCAGTTACTCCGATGCTAAAAGCTTCTGCGCATTGTGTTCATGTTTAGTGTTGGGAAATCCCAACTCCCAGCTCCAAAGGGGTTAATGTCAAAACAGCATCTAAAGTTATACAGTAGGTCAGTATTGGATCAGACAATTAAGGGAGTACAATTACTGACATCTTAATCCTTTGCTTACAATTTCTAAAAGCTACTGTTACATTTATACTTTTCCTGGAAACAGATGGTTATACCTTTTTAGCATACATCTGCTTTCTTGGATACCATGTCAGCCTATAATTCTGTATTTAACATCTTCTTGCTGCTCCATCCCAGCTGCTTTTTCCCCATCACTTAAAATAAAGTAGCTTGAGAGTTGGGTTTTCCTTGCCATCTGCAGCACTCATTTACATAAAGAGTAAAGACACACTATTTCAAGAACCTCCACCCCACACGTCTAATTAGCTGAAAAAACTATAAATATGTGTAATATATTACCTGATTGTCTTTTCTGAACATCAGAGGGAGGCAGACTGTTGTCTTCAGTAACAGAGTTGTGATACCCAACAAGACTTTTAAAATTTTGCATAAAGTCATCAACAGTAGCAACCACTATTCCATTTTCAGCATAATTTGAAAGCATTTTGAGATTCTTTTCTAAATACATAAAAGGAGATTTTGTATTAAGATACAGCACCTGTTATCAAAAGAGAAAGAGAGGTAATCTTATATTTTGGTTTTACCTGTTAAGAAGACAACATGCCTCTGTTGTATGTTTTGAGCCTGAAGCCTGATAAGACAGTCTAATTCCGGTGCATTTCGAGTTTGAGAATCACAATGGTGGTAGGACAGAATTTCAACCAAGTGCTTCTTTTGGTAGGTATTCAGCAGGGTCAGCAGACTCAAAGCATTAGTATTCAGTCTGTGATGGTGAGAGAAAAAAAAAAAAAAAAAAAAACACCATTATAAAGACATTTAAAGTCAGTCTAAATATTAAGTCAAAAAATTGAACATAACACTAAGTTGTACTTGTTTTTTTTAGAACATAATTTAAAGCTGAAGCATGTTAACAACTGATATATAAATGATGACTGCTTACCTCCCCAGCTCTTTAAGTTTTTTTTGTATTTTGCAGTGGACTTTCCACTGCCATTTCCCATCTGGTGTATTGAGATCCTCCAAAAATTTTAAGAACTGTTTTAGTTTATCTGTTTTGAAGATATTGAACAGAAGTTAAATTTTGTGGTATGTGAACTAAAGACACTGCTTCAATATATACATAGAAGTGTGTTGTTTTTGTTTTTTTTTCTCCAGTCTTCATCAAAGTACTTAAAGCAACTTTACCCTAGGTAGTACTTTAGGTTTAGTTCCTAGGAGACTGGACAACAACGATACTCCAAAACCAAGGGGATTTTGTGTTGTTTTGTTTTTTAAAGTAAAGGTAAACAATGGAATAGATAAAAACAAACAGATACCTAACAGTGGTATTCAGTCAGCATGATCTGCCTTGCTAAAATATCTCTGAGAACAGATACTTAGAAAACTATTCAATTTTCAAAAGAACAAAATTGAAAGAATGTAGTTTTTCAAGTATTTTTTACTACATTTTTTGTGGATTGATACATAAGGAATAAAAGTTTCTGTACACATAACTACACAATATAAGACAAATTTAAAGAGAAGATATCCATGTTCATGTTCTCCAGACAGGCCAGTGAGGTAAGAGACTGAATTAGCTTAAGTCCTCCAAAAAAAAAAAAAATCTCCTCACAATATCATCTCTGTAAATTAGAAGACTTGATTCCTCACTGCTCTTTAGTATGGCACTTATCTTTTACCCTAAAACATTAGGCTTTTTTGACTGTTTTAAAGCTTCAGAAAGCATCAGACTTACCTATTGTGATACTCTCTGGATTAAGGACAGATTCATCTGATACAACAAAACCACCAGACACAAAGAGTTCATTGTAAGTGTGATTTTTCACATCATCCAAACTATCGACACCCGCAAAGCTGACACAAGAAAGCCTCTTCAAAGTTACTAAGCCAGGTATCTGTTTAAAAATCAGAGATGTATATGAGGGAAAATAAAACATAAAAGATCACAATTAAAAAAAGAACTACAGAACTTCTCTGATCTACCTATTAATACCGAAAATCTAACTTGAAAACACAACGTAAAACAACTACTTTTTTCCTCTTTCTTTGGGAGGTGCTCTTTCAAAACCGTTATAGGAGTGAGCCAGTGGAAGCTGAGTACTTAGAATGATTTTATTTTCTGTCCACTACAAGCTCATAAGCCATAGCTGTCAGGAACACCTAAGGTAACCTGGCAGCTGCCTTTGCTTGCTGTTAGAGCATCACAGAACTAAAAGCAGAACTACTCAGGCCTCATCAGAGCTTTATAACTACTAAGTATACATTAGCAAGTACATGTAGGTAGAAGTTATTAGAGGTGTATGATGCAACAACCCTAAGTATTACCACAGCCATTTTTATTTCTTCAGGAGGCACCTAAACCCAGGTCATCATTTAAAGTAACCTTAATTGAAATGAGCTCTTCTCATTATGCTTTAACAGTAGCTTTCTGTAGGGTGCATTTACTTATGTGAAGTACCTTATGGATGAGGTTGGCGATGTCTTCATTTTGAATAATTATCAACAGTTTATCTAAATCAGCTCTTCTTTTAAGGAACTGTTCTGGATGGCACTCTGTATTACCTAACTTTGTAAGATACTCCTAACACCACAGAAAGAAAAGATGGTAAAGAAAGCAAAAAGGTAGTTAGGCCAAAACAATCCCCAGAACAAGACCACATTTAAATAAGTTTTCTATTGAAATGAACATCAGAGGGTGGAACTGCCTTTTTCTTTTTTTTTTTGGTCTTTCCAATACATTAGCCAGAAGGATGTAGCAACATGGAAATAGGCTATTTTAGCAAGTCAGTCATTCTTACAGAATAGCACATAAATGGATAAGTGGCCGTCTCGTCTATTAACTGCATGTTTTTTCAAGAAAACAGAAGCTTTATTATTTCATTTTCAAATTTTGTCTTACACACTTAAATACAGAAGGACAGCAGTCTCTAAACTTACCTGTATTATTAAACAGAGGAAAAAAGAATAGGACAACCTCAAACAACAAAAAACACACCACCACAAACTTTTCATATGTACTTGCTAAAATTCTATCACACGTTTGCCGTTGTTATCTGTTTTTCCCCAAAAACCTTCCATAAGCCTAACCCCTCTGGCAGTACCTTCAGAAGGACCCCAAAGTACAGCCAGTATTAACTTTCCAACTAAGAGACTTATGTAAAAGTTAAATGTAAGACAACCTCAAACAAGAAATGTGGCAGGACAGCCTGTTTTCATCATTCACTGTCACAGTTCAAACTTTTTTGAAGGAAGTTTTAGCCTACTTTATGTTTGCAAGCCCCGTTTTTATACATTCTGGTTTGAAAGGCACACCAATCTATTTTACCATGAAAGAGAGATTGAAATGAAACATACTTACCTTGATTTCTTTGCAGAGAATGCTTTCTTCCTCTTCATGAATATAAAATTTCACAGTGTTTTTCTGTACATCTTTAATAATTTTGACCAAACTGTTAAATACTTCAGGTTTTAACTGGCTTATAAAATCAGAAAGAGCTGGTTGGCTTGAAATATTTAAGCTCTCTGGGGATTTCTGTGTCTTTTCTGGCTGCTCCATCAGGTCGCCACTGGAAGATGTCTGATCAGATGTCAGTATATCTTCTGTTTTAGCATTCACACGATCCATTTCCTCCTTCGCTAAGGGCAAGCTTGCTGAATGCTGCTCCTTAGTTTCAAGATCTTCCATTACATTATTACACAATGGCTCTGATAGCAATGCTGGGTCACAGTCCCTGCAAGCAGGTAACACCTCGGGTGAAGGATTCAGTGCAGCGTTACGAACCATTTCTGTTGATTCAGGACTAGAATAAATTGGTTGAGTATGCCTAGTGCTTGAAGAGGACAAAATAACACTATTCAGTTTTTCACTCAGTGTCTCTATGTATTCTTGCACAGAAATCTCTGATGCCTGTAAACAAATGTATTCAGAAAGTCTCATTATCCTCTCTCGGGCTGAGAAGACTGGTGTGGACATACCACTAACATAAGCGATGTTCTTTTGCTGCAAAATTTCCTGAATCTTTTTTGCGAATAGATTATATTCTTCTAATAGTGTAGTCTCTATTATTGCACTTATGGAATGCTTAGTTGTAAAAGGTTGATCTGCTAGCCCACACTGATCTTCAAGTTTCTCCACTTGTCTTGTATAAAGTCCATCTTCTGCTGTCCCCTTTTGTGTGTCTGAAAATGGAGAGTATGGAAACTGATAATCAGAACTTCTCTGCCTATTTATTACCCGAGGGTCATTAGGGAAGGCATCCTTTGGTGGTAAAAACACCAGTGGTTCTTCTGGTGATTTCAGACCTATATAGGAAGAGTTCATCATCATCATCTTATGTTTTAAAGTGATACAGAACTAATACAACAAAATGCAGTTTCAAGAAAGTATTACTGTTGTGCCTCCCCCCAAGCACCTTAAATCCAGAATGCAGTGTGTCTCTGATGTGCAGAAGCACAGAAAATGTCATTGTTCCTAAGACTGTACAATATCAAAGTTCGCTTGGAAAGCCAGAACCCAAGTAATTTTCCCAGTGATAACAGCTAATTAAACACAACAGTAGCTGCCTTAATTACAAAACACATCCAAATTAGAAAATTGAGCAGGGTAACAAATTATTCAGACATTTTGCTACTGGGTTATAATCTGTAGACTTTCAAAATCCATATTTTAGCCACATACTACCTTGTGGAGTTAAACTGCAAATTGCAAGCTGTACATCTGATTTCCCAATTGATTTTTTTTTTTTCTTAAAAGGGTAGAACATATGTTTTATGATAATTACTGATCCACAGAATCAGTTATGCTGTAAGGAGTGCTGAAAGCCTCCCAAACCCAAACCTCAGAGATCATTTCTGCAACTGTCAATTTATTCACCATCCACATTCAAAACTGGTTTTGTCACAGATATTTCAGATATTTAAATACATACAAGTGTTTCAGTATGTATCTGTTCCATAAGCATTTCAACACTTCGAAGAAAGTGCTTTTTTTTTTTTAAATGTGTTATTGTTACAGCTAATAGACTTGTAAGCAGAAAACCAGAAGATTTCTGCAACAGAAGCAGTAACCAAAATAGCACAAATTAACTTTAAACAACTGTGTTCTTTTGAAATGCAGTTGTTTTTGTGATCAGTTTAAGTTATGTGCTGTCCCTTACTTGGTAACATCAATTTCTAAAAGGCCTAAAAGGAAAAACTCTGCCACTAAAAGGATTCCTTTTTCATGTTGTAATCACCTCGTAGGTACTTTACACCACTTAGACTGGTTCAGAGAAACCAGTAATGTGGTTCCATTTTATTTTCTGAATAAAATAGATGTTTGTTCTTCATCCTTCAAAGCACATCCATCTAGTCAAACCTAATTTCTTGCTTTCTTTAAAAGCACTACAAGCAGATATAAATCAGGTGATTCTGATTTGTTCAATTTTATTTGAACCTGTTTTTCTGTTATACCCTGTGCCTTCAGCATTGATCTATGCCTTCTGCATGCTTAAGCACATTAATTTTGTTTTAGAATAACTCAATAACCAAATCATGATGTTAACAGAATAAACTCATTTCAAGATTGTTTGAGATGTGAGGTACTTGAGACTATGTATCTCATTTTTCTTGAGCTGCTTAACACTTATAAGCTACATTATTGTAATCAAGAAATATTGTACTACAAGGAACTCTTAGCAGGAAAATTAAAAATATACTATAGCTTGAAATTGAGGGCTATTTTTAGGTGACTTCTTGCATTTTAATACAGCCTGTTACATACCAATTTTAGCAATGAAAGAAGTAATACCCAATCCATTCATGCTGATTTAAGAGAAAGTTTCTGTAACAATTAGATTAGGAAAAAGACTTCATAATACATAATAAGAACATATATTAGACACTAGACTGATTAAGTTATTCTTTAAAGGTTATTATTTAAAGTTTTCCAGAAAGAAACAAACAGTGCTTTAAAAAGGAAGTGTGGAGGGGAAAGAGAGGACAAACAGTTAAGGCCTGTAGTAAAGAAGTGTAAAGGAATTTAAACAGAAATATGTATTGCTGAATACAGATACCAATCCAAAATATTTTCTAGCATGTAAAAAAAGTTTAAAAAAAAAAAAAATTAACCTAGGGTTTCCCTTACTGAAATAGAACTCCCTGAAGGTGGCGTCCTTCATAGATCTACCTACACCTTTGGTTCACAAGTCTTCACAAAAAATAATAATAATAAAAAAGGATCAGCAAGTAGTAAACCATGAATACAAAATTCAACAGCTATTCAAGAATTATTTCTGATTTCAAATATATTCTTCCTTAGTAATACCTCATAACTGCTTAGGTCAAAGAAACTTAGGTCAAAAAAAAGAAAAACAAAAAAAAAACACACGATGACTGCCAGAAAACAATCTTACAAAGAAGAGCTGTTTAAGATCTGCCCAAATTATTATTGCAGATTAAGAATCAAATTCCTCACTGCTTAAGAGAGGTCTTTCTACAGTGACTCCAGCAAAAGGGTTCTTGGGTTTATTTTGAAATCATAAATTCAAACACCACCACCAAAGAAAGCACGGAACATTCTGCTTCTTTGTATTTAAGATGAATGTCGTCAAAAGCCATCACTTTTAAGAATGTTTATTGATGCATTAATCTTCTCTTACAAGAGAAGGAACAAGCAAGAACAAATACCATTTTTAGCTGAATGTCTAAAGCTAAAGAACAGTCCCAAATTCAAATCAAAATCAAGTTGGGATGGATTTTGCAAGTTTGCTTACAATTATCAGAAATTTAGATTATGTAATCTAAGAAAAAGAATGACTGATATTCTTTGAATTCCTTTCTACAGCTATGTTGCTACAGAAACAACCAAACAAAAAAAAAAAGAGATGTGGACAAGCCACTGAATTTAGAAAGCCATCAGTTTCAGAAAGGATCAAAGCTTCCTTTAAGTTATGCTACTGAATTGATCTTAATTCCCTAGAATGAAAATTCAAAACCCTCCAGAAGATGCTAAATAGAAAGATATGTCCAATGAGGAGTGCCTGTAGCCCCAAACATTTGAGGCTGTTTTGACTCTCCTACAGCCTTCCTGATGTACTTCAATAGAATGAGTCCACTTGTTGAACAATGTGTTATTGATCTTGTTTTCTGATGAAAACTCAATACCAGGGCAGAATAAAAGGTGCTCAGGCCATAATGACATATGGAACCCTTCCAACACACATTCTTTCCTAATGATCCTCTTGAACACTTCCCGTCCCTCCTGAAGGAGAGCAGCAGTTAGAATTTACAGGGTTTTCTTTCTACATATATTGCACCTTTTACAAGCTCACATTACAGAGCTAGTCAACACTTATTGCAGCAAGAGCTAATTTGAAGAAACTCAAGAAATCCGGTGATGCTCAAGACAACCTCTTTCATCTCTGGAGAACAGCACTTTTCCCTCTCAGAAGACCTCAAAGAAAATTTCTTCTAGCAAAATTTGTAGTCTCACAGGTGACTGCACAACATGTCAGCTGAAAAACCCTTGTATGAATTCTCTTATACTGCATCCACTTGCTAGTTATTTCAGCAACCATAACCACATCTGCCTATACACACAGTGACAGATGTTACTTCGCAAAATACCAGAATAGATTTTTGATGTTTGGCTCTTAAAGAAAACACAGAAAACATAATTTAAAATCACCCTATCGATTCTTTGAAAGGCTTATCAATAATGCAGAAGCTAACTCCTTTCTCCCTTCTTGGCTAAGCAAACAGAAGAGCTGCAGTACTACACAACTGGATGAATATTAGAAGTGTCAAAGAGAGATTCCCACATTGTTAGAGAATGATCAGAAATCAGTATGTATTTACTCAGAGAATGCAGTTAACACAGTCCACGTGGGTTTACGCATTAAGAGGCCTCAATTCCTAGCCTTGAACTTAAACCTCCTCATGGCTACTCCTCAGTTCGGCTTCCACATCCTTCAAATCTACGCTTTTAAGTGCTCCTAAGACTTGACACTGTTGACTCATCAAGAAGTAGAACAAAACAAGCTTATAGAATAAGTTTCTAAGTTTTAAATGTTTAGATATAAAAGCCTTCAAAGCACTATTAGTAGAAGAGCTTGATGCAATACAAAGTAGACAGCTTTCTATGAGGTTAACACATTTCTCATGACTTTTCTGAATTAGAAGCTGCAATTGCCCACTGATCCAGGAAAGTGGATTTAAATGCTGAATTTATAACAGCTATGTACTTCACCAGATAAATACTCAAGCACTTGCATTTCTAACCTATATCACTGTACCCGAAGCAGTACTTCTCCATGAAAACACGGGTATGTTTTCATCCAACAGATGCGTGTATTGTTCAAAAATGAGAAATAATTGCATGGATATACACATGCTTGTGTACCAACATGTGACCCAAGAATGGAATCTGTAAAAGATACAAACCTTTGGAATATGCTTTCATTTACTATATGCAGCAAAATAAGTTAAACCCATCTTACCTGTAATTGGAATCAGTCTCCAGTGCATTCCAACTTCTCCTATGTTATTTGAGTTGGAATGTTGCCTGCGATAAACGTGTTCTATAGGTGTACTAGGACAGGGACTGTAGTCTTCAAAGCTACTTACACTTCCAGTGCTTGCTTCCTGAAAAAAAATGATAAAAATTCTCAATTTGCAACTGTTTCATTAAACTACGTACTGAACAGCTTACAGTAAGAATGTCCCCAAGTTCACCAGCAGATAGGAAATTTTCCAATCGGTCAAGTCAAAGTTAGAAAAGTTTACGTCAGGTACTTCTGCATTTCATTCACGTCATTACTTCTGCGACAGGCATCTTTGCTGATGGTCTGTCACTAAATAAGGCAGTCCTAAGCACATACCTTAGAGCACAGAACATGGGGGGAGAAGGGCAAGGAGACTAGGAGATGGAAGTGGAGGAGAAAAAAAAAAGTCTGCTCCTTAGCCATTTTTAGGCTGTAGTCTTGATAAGTCAACAAAAACCATGACATGTTAGCACTGCTGAGGAACCACCTGCAACTAGTATTAAACCCTTGAGTAAACTAAATTCACCTGGCATTCCAAATGGTTAAAAGCAAGAGAGCACAAATACAGTTGTTGCAGTTCAATTTTGAGTTTCTTGGCTATGACAAGAAAGCAGTAAACTGAAAAAAGACTGATGCCAATCTGTTTATTTTTGGTTCACTTTTGGGGGGAGAAGGGCAAAAGGATTCAAAGGATAAGCTTTGAAAGAGCTTAGATATGGGAGGAGTCTGGTATGAAAAAGCTTTTTTGTGCCTGAGATTGGACTTCATAATCATGACAAGCTGTCATATCCAAACCACCTATCAAGTCTGTAAGGTTAAGGAAAACACAGAAAAATAGTAAAAGCAGAGGATAGCAAAGAAAACTGAACCACCCCGTGGTGCCCCACAACCAGACTCTAACACAGTCACTAACAGCCTGCCCTGCTGCCATTGCTGCAGGAAGTCCATATGCCACAGCAACTACTCCTGCATCATTACTTCTCTTCAGAAAGAGTAGCAGCTACACAGTTAACTGTGAAGAACTCTCAAATGTCTCCTTACTTGGTTACAAGTTCAGAAAATATCAATACCCCAGCCAGATCAAGACTCACCCCTCAGAGAAGGAGGAAGGTGGAAGGCAGTATGCAAGCTCTGTTACAGTTTACAATACACTTGTTCCATGCAACTTCAGCTTGCTAAAAACCATCACCATAATCAAGGTGAGAGACAGAATAGAATAATCTGTTTTCTACAAGATACAGAAAACAATTGCAAGGCTTCTGTTTCAGAAAACATGAAAAAACATTTCGGTATACAGCAGTCAGCAAAAGTGATGGAAGTTTTGCTGCCTATTTGTGGAGCAGCAGCATATTACACTTACTGGAAAGCTAGAGTGAGGAAGACTGACTGACTGCCCATGGTTGCTTTCCACCTTCCAGATATTCTTAATTACAATTTTATTACAGAAAGAATAGACAAAGAATGAGAAACAAGCATCTTAAAGTTAGAATTTTCTATATACTCTCCTGCAAAACTGAAAGTCTTCTTCACAGAAAAGTTAGTACTTACCTATTTAAAAATTACAAGGTCTTTTTATTAATTCTCATAATGTTTGCAAAAATAGTACTTCTGTTACTAGCATCAGCCTATCAGCCAGTTTCACTTACTTTTAAACGCAGTGTGTGTTCAAGGCCTACTTCATTAGCTGAAAGCCGTAGGTCAACATCAGTAGGGTAGGGTAAGCAAGCTGCATCAGTTTCTAGCATCACAGGGCTCTGTGGGTCCTTAAAGTTAACATTTTCAGCCTGAACAGCATTAGGAAGCTCATGATCATCTCTGTCCTGTGCTGGAATGGATTCATATTCATATTTTTGTCTCATATCTTCTTCAATTTCATCAGTGTTTAATCCTAAAGCTTGATTTACAGACCGTGCCAACGACGAATCCAAGTGTCCTGAACTAGCTAGTGTTTCTAACAGCAGTTTAATGAGGCCGTGTGTGTCAGTAACAGCAGAGTCGGAAACATCTTGCTGCCTCAAGTCAGTATCATGTCCACCAAGACCAGTAATAATTGAGAAAACTGAGTGTGGCGAGTCCGAGGTTCTGCCCCCTTTGGGTAGGGGGAGAAGGGGAAAAGTAATCCATTACTAAGTTTTAAAACAAAAGCAAAAACAGACACATGCACACACCAAACACCTTCCACATACCCACAGTGTCACTCTTTAGCATCAATTCATACATTACACATACATTTACTTTCTTAGTAAAAATTTTTAAATAGGAGGATGTTGATTAAAGTTTCTAAAGCTAACAGAACAGTTTCTGAAGCTATATAAAAACATGGAAATTCAAACCCCTGATAGTTGTTGCTGTCTGGGAACCCCTGACAGTGTTAAGTCAAAATTTAGTTTCAAACAAATACTGTTTTGATTACACCCAGGTGGAAACACAGTCACATATTTTATATTAATAACCAACGTAAAAAGACTCTCAAGTTCCATAAACTTCCAAGTTGGAATCCCATGACTGATCATGGAGCCTACCCTCTGTCTCCTCCATCCACACATGCCAGCTGCACCTCTCCAAAAGGAAAGTGGTTTCTAACTCAGGCTTTTCATCTTCTAAACTGATTTGATGCATTGGAATTACTGAAGCTTGAGGTACATCCCCCCCCCACTCTTCTTTGTGCTACCCTTCTCCCTGTTCTCCCCAGTTTTCCCCATCTAAATGAGACCTATATCATTACCCTGTCAGCGAAACAGAAATCAAAGAGTTTCTTTGGCAGATATTAAGATAAGATCCAAGGTAATTACCTAAGGTTTGGATATAGATAGTTTAATTTACAAAATAAATTCAGTCTTAAAACCATAAAGCTGTTTCCTTTGTCACATTAAACATATTACTGGCTGCTCTGACTTTACTTTGCTCATACTTAGATATCTAATTCTCTTCTTCGATCTACATTTACTAATTATTAATATAGGGTATTGCAGCCGTAAGGAATTAGAGCAAAGCCTGAAGTCAAAGACATTACAGTATCACAATTTGCTTAGTACCCTATACTAGAAAGTCTTTGGACAGTTCTAACAGCTAAGCAAACTCTCTGGAAGTCAGCCTTCCCTATTAACTTGTATTCTAGAAAGAGACAACCTACATAAACTATATCTCTATTAACAGATCTCAGGCCCATCTTTAAATGAGCCACCAAGCATTAAAATACACAAAAAAAAAATATTCAATCTATTAAGGTTAAAATTAAAAGTATGCTGTGAATTACAATACTTAAAGAGGAACTCTAAATAAAGAGGCTCTTACCTTCGTACTGACAACTATTCTCTGAGGCTTCACTCATTTTTAAGTGTTTCCGCAGATTTTCAGACTGTTTCTCCAGCTTCCTTTTCAGTCCACTCTTATTTCTAAGGTCTTCGGAATCAGAATCTCCACCTACATTTTTTTTCCTACACTGGATTAAGTTAATAAGTTCCTTCAGTCTATCAGGATCATAATCTCCGTGATGAGGGAATTTTCGCTTGGCAGCAGTTGCTTCATATTTTGCACGGATTCTTTTCCCACTTTTTGCATTGGCAAAATCAGTGTCTTCTGTAGCTTCATAATCTGAGATGGGACTGAACTGTTGAAGTTTCCGATTTCCCTCCATCAATTCCTTAGCTCTAGAAACAGGTAGTTGATATGCCTCACAACCAAAAATATAGTTTTGCAAGGAGCTGTCAATATGAGATTTATTTTTTGGAGCAGAATAAAGAAATTTTTTGTCATCCAACCGTGATTCATACCGATATAATACAAATTCTCTATATTTTCCAGAGCCACTATAGCATCTTTTCAAATACTCATTTATATACTTTTCCACAACAGTATTGAAATCTGCAGTAGCGTCTTTACGAGATTGGATTAAAGCAAAATGTAGAGACTGAATAAACTTTGTGAATTCTGGAATGATCTCCTGATTTTCGTGCAACACCACGGTAGTTGAATTTTTCTGTGTTCCAAATGGAACAATTTTTTGTGCTGCCATAGGAGAAAAGGGAATTCACAATTAAAATCACATCATAAAGCTATAAATAAATGATGACTGGCTAGCAATGTTCTGTATTATACATATTTGGTGAAACACAGTTTGGAATGACTGGAGAAATAACCCAAATGCCAGGGATTTCTTTCTTTGTGTAAGTGTGAAGTAACAGCTTTAAAGCCTACTTAAACGTCAACCTATTCATGGTCATGATGAACTGTTCACTTTCATGATTTTGTGGTAACCTATATCCTACGTACACATAATTTCCAATTCAAATCACCTTACTGGCCCTCCTAAAATGTCACTTCAAAGACCTTAGATTTACTGAAAAACAGCTCTCTGCAAGAAATGGCATTACTCCTTCCCATGGAATCCTGCCCCATTCATTGTACTGATTCTAAGCTCACTGGGATCCTTGTGACATGGAACTCTAAAACAGACGTTCTTAGTAAGTTCTGGCCTTAGTAGTCCAGCACAAAGCTATACAGCTTTTTTGGTCCTTTGCAAACCAATACAACTCAACAAGATGCAATAGTAACATTTGACAAGAGCAGGATTTCCTGGTCTTGGGATGCTATTAGAACCTCTTACTGCATCCTCGAAATAGCATTTAAAGGAAGATCCAAGTTATATCCTTTTTATTCATTTATTTCTGTCCCCTGCCCTCCCCTCCATCAAACTTTCTTTCATTCAACCCTTTTAAACAATTACTGAGGCCTTAAAACAGTGGTTAACCTTGTGTTTGACAGAAACTACAGCTCACAAGTCTTTGAAATGTCACGGCAGCAAAAAGCTGTAATATTTTTAAGGAACTGGCATACATACACTTGAAATGTCTTACTGTGTCTTATCTCTTCTTACCCAAACTACAAGTGCTTGGATTTTATCAACCATCACTCAAGTTAGAAAAATTAAAATAAGAAACATAGAGGTAAGCATCTAGGAAGCAGCTAAGACTTCAAACAAGAACTTTCTGAAGAGAGCTACACTTTGACAACATCACTTCTAACTAACTCACAGCAGGCCAAAATAGAACTGCATTCTACTGATTGCAAATTTCAGCTGTCAAAGATTAACTTTTAAGTCTCATCCCAACACTAAAACCAAGTCCTTTCATTCGTCTTTATTTATGGTCAGGTTTTTGTGCATATCCCAAATCAAAACAACAACAAACTTTCACATGTTTTGTCCTTCACATTGTGTTAGTTAAAGAAATACCCCCTCCCCCACACTCTAAAAGTGCAGTAACATTCTTAGCACACTGATCTCTGGGAACACTCTCAGTTCTACTACTATGCACAAACAAGAACTCTAAAGTTGTTTTAGTTTTAAACTAGGAACAAGTGAGCCTAAAATACTTAGTGCCATAAAGAAATGCCTTAGTTCCATGAAGAAATGAACACTTTTTGAACACCATCACCATTGCTATAACAAACTATTATTCCTGGTTTACAGTGTTAAGTTGTAACACTGTTCTACTGTTGACTTCAGTAGACTATAATCATCATTTAACTGACCACATAACATACACAGAAGTGAACAAACTTACTTGAGCTCATTATACCTCTAGGTTCAGGAAACAGAAATAACGCATTTAACATGCGGGACCGTCCAGTTTGGTGATCTACAAAAAGAAAAATGGTTGGAAAGGAGAAGACCCCTATGCTTCAAAAGACAACTATAAACCAAACAACAACACCACCATCACCACAACCACAGTACCAAACATAGAGTATGCATACCATAAGGGGATGTCATTTGCCAAGGAGAAAGAAGAAAAAGAAATCCTCTGTCCAGAAGTGGTTTAACGAGAACCTGTTTTGAAGGAAGAGGAAAAAAAAAAGAAATAAAAGAAAAAAAAGCACATTGCTTCTAAGCTTCTACCAGACATTTTGACATTATGAATACTCTTACTTCCTGTAAGCTAAATTCCAGTCAAGGTAGGGAAGTGCTATGATAAGCTATTTTGGAATATGCTAGCTTTGTAATTCCAGTGAGACCATGCATCTTTTCACATGTCTCAATTTCTAGTTACTAAAGTTATTTTGAAAAGTGAATAGTCAAATCTGTAACACTCACAAGTTTCTCTTTCTCTAGCTTTTGAAGTAATCCCTCCAAGTGATTACCAGAACGGGACTTCTCCACAACTTCATAAAGACTACAGTACATTCCATTCTTCAACACTGACGTGGTACAAGGGGAGGAAGAAGTTTAGAAGAAAAAAAATAAAATTGTAACTCAGTAAATTTCTAAACGTTCTTAAATAAATAAAAATTTAAAATAAAAAAAAAAGCTAGCGCCATTTACCTTCTTTTGCTCCTAGGTAAGTTTCTTTATACAACAACGCAGGTGAAATTTTCTTCTTCAGTTGGTCAATGCTTACAACTTTTTCAACATCAAGCTTCTCAGGACTAGAGACAAAGGGTGCAGGAGGGAGAGGTAAATAAAAAAAAAAATAAAAGGCCTCTCTTCTTTGACCTTCATAGTCTGATCCTCATTGACCAAAAAAGAATTATCAAATACATTCTCATAAAACATCAGTTCCTTAAGCTATCCTGTGAGACAATTATATTTATTGCTCCAAAGGAGTGTGTGTCACTTAAGAAAAACAAAGAATAAAAAACAAAACAGGAAAAAAAAATACCAACAACACCGAAGACTGACAAGTTGTGAGCATGAACAAAAAGCAGCTCTGGACACTCATGATTTAAGAGTCTAGTTTGGTATTTAAAGCATCTGGTCAATGTACATTTTAGACTTTCACCTGAATATGTCTTAAATTCACTAGTCTAATAGAGTTTTGACACAGCAGTATTTTTAACCTATTCTTTAAACAGTAATACTCACAGCTTGCATGGAAGGAAAGGACGCGCTGCTGACTTCAAGGAAACATGGCACAGGAGTTTGCCTTTATTCCAGAGCTGTCCCCTCCATAATGTGTAGTTAGATTTATCTAAATTAAGATGGAGACAGAAATAGAGTGAAACCACTTGTTAGGAGGGACTGAAACAAAATGGTAGTAAAGAGATTGCTGAACCTCCAAAAGCTATTTTGAGGAAATTTCCTACTAATAACACACCAGACAATAATACCTTTACACCTATTATTTAAGGTAACAAAAAGAGTATTTGCAATCCTATCTTGTTTTGACCTGCTCTGAGCAGAGTAAAGTAGTTGGTATGTGTCCTGTACATGTATATATAAGCACATCCTTGTTGCCAACGACATCCTCATAACTTAACTGCTAGCTATGTTTATACATAAGAATATTTTGCTTGAATGATGTTCAAAAGAAAAGTGTGAGAGGATCATGTTATTTGAAGTGGCATTGAACAGCAGATTTGTGAGCAGAAGGTATGTTCCTACTATGCTATACACAGAAACAGAGGGAAAAGACAACTCGATTTTATTCAGTTCTGGTTTGTTCTAGCAAGGGAAGAACATACACCTGAAGGTGTCTGTTACACCATCTAATATCACAAGAGATCACTGCAATCAGTATGGTACGGAATAAAAGTTAGGTAGACAGTCAACATAACCAAGCAATCATTCTAGTTAAACACAAATCAAACTACATGGGCAAAAATGTCCAATACTTTTCAAGCCTACAATCATAGAAGTACTAAATTTCAATTCATTCTTACCTGTACTTCTCTCTGTGTTGAAGCTGTTTGATCTAACAAAAAGAAAGGAGATGATTACTGGCTTGAGACAGAAGCTTGCGGCTACTGAAATTTTATATTAAGGATACTTTATCAATCTAGTAATAGCAACACTGATTACACTCTCTAGCCTCAAGCTACCATTACAGCAACTTGTCTGATTTTGACATCCAGTAACTGTTGTTAGCACTAGTACAGTCCCCACATTTGGATGCCTTCCTATCAGCACAGGTATCATATCGTATCTGTCATCAACATAGACAGTCGCTCTACAAGCCATAAGAAAACACTAGCAAATAGTCTGGTGACTAAGTATACAGAACATTTTTTGGAATACCAAACAAGGTACTGCTGTGAACATTTGTATGACTCTATTCTACAAAGCTTTATCTTGATTCCCCCTAGGGTAGAAGGTGAGGTAGATGAGAAGAGCAATAGAACTGCTTCCTACAGGGGCAGCCTGCTGCATAAGACCAATTCTGTCACCTCTTGCTTTACATTAGAAACATTTATTATACTACATCCCTGTAACACATCCATCCATTTCAGCACTGTTCATCTAAACTGATGCAAAACTATTACTAAGAGCTATGAATTCACGTTGAATGCAGTCTTTCCAAAATTCACTTCCTAGCTTACCTTGATGGGGGCAGGAATTTTGGTGTTTGCACGATTTCATCTTTGTAAGTAAATGAAACAACAGCATAGGGACAAACATGCCTTGGTCTTCGTCTTATCTCATCAAAGCCATATTCATAGAAATAGTACTAGAAAAATAACATAGCTTTGAATTAAAAACTCTTAAACTATATTTTGCAAATACAACAGCCCCTGACCTTTGTCCCCAGAAAGGTGCACTGTTTCACAGCAATAGCTTAAAAAATATACTTCATGATTAACTACTTATGCAAACTAATGGAAAAAGAGTTTAATAGTCTGAAATCTTTTATTATGCCAAATATTATCTGGTACATCTATCAAGTTATAAATTACTATAATAAATCATATTTATGGTGCTCTTACCACCAACAACCTAATTCTTAAAGAGCTGCTACCCAAAATACAGTTTTAAATGCCATTCTCATATGTATGTTATAATACGATCAATTACCTTATTTTTTTCCACATTCTACTTCCTGGTTTACCTAACACTGACAGGACAGGCACTACTTTAGGGTGTACATGTACGTAAGGCTAACAGGAGACGCTGACATGTTGTTCTGTAATTTCTAATAAAGGCTTCTGTGAGCTACTGCTTAATGTACACCAGACAGCTTCAGCATTACAGGACAAGTTCAGTATTAAGTTACATCTTCAGGCAATTTACCTCCACAATTATCAATTCGTTGATTGGTTGTTGTTTGTAGTTTTTTGTTTTGTTTTTTGCTTAATAAGGTTTTTATTTAAGTTAACACACACTCAACCTTCTACTACCTGAGTAAGTTCATATGCTCGATAAGCCAGCAAGGAGGTTACTTTATTTGCATTCTTTGAAACATGACATTCATGCTTGGGTGTTGGATCTAATGCACTCTTCACTGTTGATTCCACTGCTTTCATGCCTATGTGGTCATATATGCTTTTCATTTTTCCCTGTAAAAAAGCAGAATTGTAAACAAGCTTTTCCCTGAAAACTGGCAAACTGCATCAAGTACATGAGGAAGTAAGTAATAAAAGATAAGTTTTGGAAAGATGTTTATGAAAATATGAAAAAAAAGAACATATTTCTGTAGAAAACATATTTCTTGCCTTTTATAAAAATTTCTTATTCCGTATTTAATCTCAGTGTCAACATTGGATTTTAAAACCAGTAGGTTTCTAGATTCTCTGTAAGGAGACAATTGTATGAATGGAGGTTCAAGAAGTAAGGTTAGAACTACTTTTATTGTATCACTAAACAATATAAGCCTTCAAGAAAAAGCAAGAATTTACCTTTATTATTTTAAAAACAATCACATCTCCAGTTGCTCCAGCTTCTAGAGGATTAGGTTGCAACAAATCAGCATACCTGGAGATATACACACCTGAGAAGAATATTAAAAACAGAAAAAAACACTACGTTATGATGAATGTTAAAATGTTAGTAGAAGAAGCATTACATAGGACTAAAGCTCAGTGTCTTCCAATCAATAAAGATTTATCATTTTTTTTCTAACTGCATCAGCAAAAAGTATAATGGCATGTTCACAACTTCCACATTCTAGACAGTAGAATAAATGTCTACTCTCACCAAGCACGGCATTAAACATCACAGTAGAACATGGACTAATGTCTCATGGACTCAGTCTGAAAGGAGTACTAACTGAAAAACATTACTAAAAATACATTACTAAAAGCGTTGTGACCAAGAGCACAAGCTCTGCCCAAATGCTGTACAGATACTGCTTTCAGTTTTTGCTTTTTTTCAAAACTCCTGGAGTCCTTCTTTATCATGTCCTATTACAAAACACGGGTATAAGCAATGGAAGATATGACTGTCAAGTAAGTCAGGAAAGCACTAGCATCATCAGCAATTTTTCATCCTACACTGTTCACAAGAGTACACTGGTTTTGAATTGTGAAGTGACACTCAAATGCAGAAGGCAAAGTAATTTCTTGCTTTTGAAGATTTCAAACATAATTTCATAGATTTTAAGGCCTCAGATAAATACTTGTTGGAACTGACTATGTCTGATTAAATAACTGCAACTGACATCAAATACATATTGTATTGGTGGGACTTGAAACAAAATGAGAATTAGTTCTCAAATTCCTCTGAAAAAGGAGTTTTAAATAATCTAGTCAAAAACAGAGTTACAAAATAAAGCCTTGATGTCAGTTTACTTTGCTAAAAATACCTATATGTGATATTCCTGCAGGTAAGTGCTAAGAAAGGCACTGAAAGTTTACACAATTGCATCACATTCTCTGCCAAGTCACACTGACTAATACCAGTACATATAATCAAAAGATAGTTACCCATGGAAGGGCTGCCAAGAATTGTTATTTTGGAGTGGCCCACCTGCAGCCCCTTTTCACATATGCTTTGGATCTGTGGAAAACAGGCATTTTTTTTTTTAAACAAGCCTATCAGGAAAGCCAGAATGTGAACACAGCAATAAACATAATTCTGTTTGGGCTAAAAAAACAACAACAACAAATAAAACAACCCCCAAGCAAATGCAACAGTTTCTCTGTTTCCTAAATTTTACACACACTTCATGAACATTACTTGCTTTTAATACATTTTAGTAACATAATACAGAAGTAGACCTGCCATATGATTGAATACTTAAGAAATCCTGGCTCTCTAATTGTAGATAAAGCAGAAAACTTCATTTTCTATCACTTTCATTTAAAAAATATCATTGGAAACCCAAAAGATAACGTGCATTTTCTACTATTACTGAAGATTATATAGGACAAATGCACATTTGGAGCACACAAATACACTAAGAATGCATCCACATATCTATATGCGTGACACATATCTTAGAGTCTTATCTACACGCTAAGTCATATTTCTTACCTACTAAACAGAAAATAAGTCTGACATGAATACACAGAAAAACAGCATGAGCATCTTTGTTCAGCCAGCTTTTAAAAGAACAGGAAGAGAACTATGCTTGTTTTCATCATACAAGTAACTTTTATGCAATTCTCTTTAAGGTACCTCTTCTTTACTCAAAAAAAGAACCATAATGAAAACATGCAAGCTTCATTAAATAAAAAAAAAAAAAAAAAAGAACAAAAAACCACCACAAAAAAAAAAAAAAAAAAACACACAACAGAAACCCACACACAGTCCAGAGAAATCTACCTTTCTATCTGTAAGTCAGTCTAAAATGGAAAATATACTTTTACTGAGACATGTAAATGGTACATCCTAAATCATAAAGAATAAAGGATTTTAACTGTGACATAGTATCACCACTTTCCAATCGTTCTAAGCCTTCCATGGCTGAATTTTGCAGAAATTATTTAAAGACATCAGTAAAAAATGTGAAGTGTGTCAACAACAGCATTCAGTTTAAGAAAACGCTTGTGAATTAAAACAGAAAAAACATTTTATATGCAATTCTGTTTTCTTACCTGAGGTCGATCAACCATTAGAAATGCATAGGTTTCAGAAAGCTCTTTATCTAGGCGACCATCAAACTTCAACTCTCTGCGTTTTTCTGTGAACTGTTACAATAAGTTCTTAACATGTATAGACAGATTATTGCAGTCACATTCAAGTGTCAATGCTTTAAGACCCCTTCTAAGTTAGCAGTTCCAACTGCAGAAAAACAATCAAAAGCTAATTTGAATGAGATTACATTATGCTACAATTCAAATTAAAAACCAAACAAACAAACAAACAAACATATATACATGGAAAATATCACTGGCCTAAAAGAAAACATTCTTTAAACCAGTAATGTGCGCCAGTAAGTGCAGTGATGTTTTAGTGTTATTAGTAGCATGCCTGTCAAGAAGAAGCATTCAGCTCAATGCTTTCCATATCATGTCTGAAATTCCATAAAATTGTCCTTACATTCACTTCTTTCTTACACAATGCATGTATGTTAGCAGTTGCACCTCAATGCGGAGGTGGCTGCAGTTGCTGTATATACCCAAGCTGCAACCATAAACCACAAATCATACAGTAGCAGAAAAAAATACACTTCAGAGTTTACCAATTACACATACTGTCACTCTGTACTTGAAGTTTTTTGGTACCGGGACTTGAAACCTATTTCACAGTTGTGAAAGAAAGCTAAGACTGGATTTAAGACAGGAGATAAGGTACAGCAGAAGTGCTAGAAGTTTAATTCTTGGACAACAATTACAGAGATTATGTAAACTTGGTATAAGAAAGGTATTAAATTTCATAGGAAGCATGAGGCCATTCAAAGTAGACCCTATAACCTCTTTACAGGTTATTAAAAATATATAAAGAGCATAAAATACATCAAGAACATTTTTGAAAATAAAAAATACACAAAGCAAAAGGGTACCCAATACAATTTTTCTTTTAGTCTTCGAGTGTCTCAGGTATTATTTTATACCTTTGTAGTAGTATAGTAAAGTTGCCTGAAAAATAGTTGCTTACATTCTCAGTAATGTGGTTTTGCAATTAATCATCAAGCACACAAGAAGAAAATACTCCCTGGGTCATTGTCTCTTAACTCCAAAAAAAACCACTAAAGTTAATTTGATTTGATCTGTACCTTATCCATAAAGAGAAACCACAAACATACTCACTTCCTTTTCCAACAGTTCACTGTGCACTAAGCTGGCTCTCTTGTAATTAAAATTCGACACTGAACTGGGTTCCAAGTAAGATGAATGCAGAATCTTCACAACATCCTCAAACTCTCGAGAGCCCACAGCTACTGGCTGAAAGAGTGCTATAAAAGAGAAGAAATAAAATAAGCACCAACATTGATCTGAAAATAACAAAACAAAACAAAATTTAGGCAAGACAGGTTCCTATAATTACAGCATCTTTCAAAAAAAAAAAAAAGACACTATGCTTTTTTAATATTCCTTTTGAACAGCTAGTTCTCAGAAGCTTATAAGGGAAGCACTTCAGTATGTCTCAGTTTATAATTTGAAAACATCTAAGTACTGTAAAACACTGTCATTAAATTTATAACATTTTAATTAAATTAATTAGCTCTTTTAATTAAAAACCAGGAACAAATTTTTCTAATAAAAACATTAAAAACAATTTCATGGCTCAGCATCTCTTTAGAACTATTAAGGTTTTTTTCTTTGTTGCATATGGTAATTATGCTAAATATGAATAAATTTAATATTATATTGTATAAATTAAAAATAATAATTAAAATTAAAAATAATCCAATAAGTTCTTATTGCTGAAAAACCACACTGCGCGTGTTCATGCTCTATGATCTTATCCCTTACATGAATTCAAAATGAAAGCTCTTCAACTGCCTTCTGGGGAATCTCGCCTAAGTTCACACAGAAAAGTTTTCATGCCCCCAAGCTTCTGAGTACAAGTGACAAATTGATCAGAAGAGGAACCAGAGTGTGTGCCAGCAAAGAATGTGAGTGCATATTGTGAGACTACATCTAGGAAAGTAATAGTCCTGAGGGAACTGAACCAGTTCAGAACAGCAACTGGTTTCTCTGTGCAGTACCATTCACAAGGCTGAGGAAGTGCAACATCCTGCAGTACTACAAATTTCAGGAAGCATTCCTACCACATCTGAGACTGCTTCTGCTCTTTTTGGAGGGGTAGGAGCACTTACCTTCCTCCAAAACAACCCCCCAGCTGAAATGTCTAGGAGTTACAATAGTTGGGAATGAACTACAGTAGCACTTGGCTCATACACAGGATGCTCTACCATTATTCTAGCAGCAAATAGAGTTGAATTGCTTCTTTATAGCTTATCCCCAATTTCATTAATTGAAATGAGAGCACATTTAGATAGTAATCTATGCCTTATTTTAACAGGAAATATTTACTGCATTAACCTGAGCATGAAACAAATGTTCTAAACAGAAACTGAAGTTACTTGAGTTATCTAGCAAAAGCTGTATTTATGCACACTTTATGATGTAGTATCCCATCCACTAACTAAAATACAGCAATTATTCCAACAGTAGCAACACTGCACGAGTGTTGCTTTAAAAGAGTTCTGAAAGTGATTAGGAAATGGTTTTTATAACACCTCTTTTGCAATAACATGTCCATTCTCAAAAAGGCTAACAGCAATTTGGGAGTACAGATAATCAGAAGCGGAAGAAATTCTAAACTTGGTGTAATATTGTAAGATTGAATGCAGTTGTATTGAAGAAAGAAACTATTAGCTAGATACATAACTATTAAAAAAACTATTAATGAAATATGTGAAGAGCACTGCCTGACCCAACTCATGCCCTCAGGCCCCTCTCAGCTCTGAGTTATCAAACCACAGTACGGTAGGGCACAGGCTTCATATACTGCCAAGTCCTCTTCTGCTTAAAATACCAGTAAGACTGCCAATGGCAGCTGCTTGCCCACATTTCCTGTTTCCTGGACAATTACCGTGCATGTCCTCCCCACACACAGCCCTATTCCCTAGAAATGCATGCTCTGTCAAACTCAGCCCATCTCTTACCACTGAGCCCAGGCAATAGCAGACTCCCCAGGACCCGCTGGTGACCCATGACTGTGATGCCATGCCTACTGCCCGGCCTCAAAACTAGGCAGAGGCACATGACATCGGTGGAGATCCTGCCATTCATTCCAATACTGCTGCTGTTCCCATGTGTTTAGATATTCCCTGCTTTGTGTAAAGCTCTAAAGAACGAGTCAAGACAGACTCACTGGAGAACAGCCAGTGCCCTGCTTTTCAGATAGGAAGGCCCTACATAGACTGCTGCAGCAGCAGTGCTCAAAACATTTAGGGGAGAGCTTTGCATTATCCCTTTTATTATGGAGTACAGTACTTTGGAGCTTTTTTTTTTTTTTAATATAGCAATTCTTCAGTGTCTTAGCAGAGGACTGAAAGTAGGTTTTATTGCTGTTGTTACTTATTCAGTAATATTTGTATGCTCCTGTGCTTCTCCAAATGTACACCTTAAACAAGCGTTACCTATCATAAAGTCACTAGTAGTATGAATGAAACTGGAAGTGCTTTTGTTACCTTTGCAGAAAAGACAGATGAAAACAGAAATGTTTTGAAATACATGGGCAAAGGTCACTCCTGAGATTTTAAGTTTTTAATGTATTTATGTACAGAACATTAAAGCAAGACTGATTCCTAACTGCTCAAATCAGTCCAAGAATGAGAACTTAGATCCACCTTTTAGCAGAAAAATGCTTAATAAACCCAAAACTTGCATAGTGAAGGGATTTGTTCCTCTGATGCTCACTGCCCACAGTAACACAAAGTGAACAAGAACAGTAATCATCACACAGGTAACCTTGCATCACTTCACGCATTAATTATTTTGATCGACTGGCTTTATGATCAGATGTCATCCACCGACCAAGAGAAAAGGAACATGAATGAAATCAGTTGAATGTGAATTCCTTACATTCCTAACTTGCTACTTTTTATGTTTCAGAGTATAAACACCAGATTTTATTACCAAAACCTACTGTCTGCTTGCTATCTTTTCATACACAGTAGAAGCAGCCAATCTACACTAAGTTTGAGAACTTTGCACCAACCATGCACTTCTTCTTCAAGAGCAGCAATTTTGTTTCTATCGTCTTCTGAAGTACCAAATGATGGACAGAGCATGGAAAGTCTACTATACTGACCACTGGACAGTACTGTAATCACAAAACAAAAAAACAAAAATAGGTGACTTAGGTTTGAATTTCAGATAAACTACTATATACAGCAGTCAAACAAAAGTTACAGTGAATGGTTGCTTTTCCTCATCCAAGTACAAGTCTTTGAGTGCACTAATCATATGCTTCACGGATGACTCAACTCTACTTTGTCCATCCTTCCAGAACTGGTGGCACTGCAGGACATGGACTTGGTAAGACACTAACCAAGTGAAGACAATGCACTCTGTGCCCTCTTTAAAAAATTATGTACATGCCAAAACACAAGGACAGAAAAACCTGAAACATGACCTACTGAGGTAAGAAGCAAGGCAATGCTTCTTGATCTGTTGTCTGTGCATTGATGCTAAAGGGCAGCTAGCTATTACCTAAAGGGTTATGGTCACTATGCAAGGGTCTATACCACACAGAAGAGTTCAGAAATGAGAAATAAAAACCAAGTCCTAAATCAGTCCATCTACAGCAGTCACCACATCCTGTGCTTAGAGCCAAAGGATAAGACTGTCATGGTTATCTCCAGTCCCACATCACTTGAAAGGAATGTATGTGTTATTTATTTTTCACTGTACAAACCTACCATGGATTTGCTGCACCTTTATTGACCCATGTAAATCAGGCAGTAATTTAAGTTAGGATATTGCATGCTAGTCCTTACAACACATTCAGTTACTGGGGGTTTTGCCAATTTGCTCTGCGGAAGTAAGAATAAATAGTACTGCTACTTAGTTTCTACCTAGTGTACTGGCAAATAGGTATGTACTTTTTAAGTAGAAAATACGATTAACTAATACAGTCCCTACTCTTGAGACCAACACGAGGGTGTGTGTTTGGATGCATGGAGCTCCCTAGCTGCTGTAAGTTTCACATTCCCTATTGTTTGCTGATTCGACTTGAGTAAACAGAATTTGGAGCTAGCAGTTTTTAAGTCAGAATACAAAGAAAAGGATGAGATTCTCTTTAAGACATACTGAACTACCCTTTAATTGAAGAAATGCAAATTACTTATTTTATTATCAGATAAGTTGGCAGCATCTTAACCTCTTTACAAACTACTCCTGCTTTAAAAAAATAAAAAGCGTTTTTTGTCTTTTTTTTTTTAAAGACTAAGATCAAAAATCAGTGCTGTGAATGAAGCATAAGGATAGAGTTATACGATCTTTCTCAGCCCAAAATTTCTTTTGCTCTCAAAAGTAGTTACCACAAGGATGGCTTAAAAAATCCTTAAGTAGAAACATAAGGTAGCAAATAGCAGATACACAATCCAACTAAAGACACGGAAGATTAGAAGACAAAAGACAAAGAAAATGAAACATCAAATGCTTTTAAGTTACCAAGTCTTCCAAGCAAGTACTTGTTAAGACTTTCAAAGATACAAGATCTTTCTCACCCCACTATGACTGAGAAACTGCATTTGTTTGCTAATTTTGTCAGCCATGGAAGGTGGAAGTAAGAGCCCAACGTTTACCAGCAAGCAATCCCTTCAGGCAACGGCAGCTCCTCAAGCACGTCTTTTGTCTTTTGGAACTGCCTTCCAGTAAAAGCACCACTATGCTGAAGTTAGTTCAGTAAGCAAAAGCACACTTATAACGATTTATCTTGAGAGTAATTTCTTCCTCGTCTTGTTCAAAAACGATCTGTGAAGTCTCAGGCAGATTTGGACATCTGAAATCTGACAATAAAATCAGAAGAAGCCATGGCAATAGGCTACAGTTCTAACATGAAAAAGAGCCAAGCAACTCAGGAGAGTGTAACAACCTCTTACCAAACTGTATATACCAAGAAGAACAGAAAACAACTTCAAGACGGCTTGCTTTTAAGTACTCAAAAAAAATGCATGCACACATGCAGAAAAACAAAACAAAAAACCCTTCACCACCTCAAAGCCAACCTTCCATAAGGTCTGGCTTCCAGAATTCTTCTACTAGAAAAAAAGAAGTCAGAAGATTCTGTGACAGCTAACCAAAGCTAGTTCTAAAAAGTATGCAACCTCCAGACGCATTCCTCCACAATTGCAAGGTTCTTTCCATCAACTTTTGGTCCCTCATTAGTCTCCAAATAGGTTTGTAGATAAATCCTAGAAGAGCTGAATAGGGAACTGCATTCGAAACTTTCTATAGCTTTTCCTTTACATTTTTCAGATTTTATTTTATGAACATCATTGCTTCACAACCGAAAGTTGTTCCAAAAGTACGTTTTGGAAAAAAGAAAAAAAAAAAAAAAAAAAAAAAAGGAAGTTACTTTATCCTGAATAGAATTTATAGTTTGTACATGACAGGTTAGTCTTCATAACCAAGACAGCAGGTACCTAACAGTATTGTAGGTCCAGGAATAAACACTGAAATTTGGAAAGCAAAACAAGTGCAATTCCAAAAACAAGGCCAGAAGAAGCTTCCATGTGTTGCTTCATGCTCGAAGGAATCTAGTCAAAGCAGCTCTCTTGAGAGGGACCGATGTTACATCTGTACTTCTTATATAACAAGATATACTTGAACACTGGAACCATGTACCTTTTAAGTGTATGCCAATATAAGATCAGATGATCCATGCACTGTTAATCTTCTCATGTAGCTCCAGAGCTGATTTAATTGTATCGTTTCTCAAATGCCAGTATCAACAACACTTCAGTTCTCTTCAAAGATCATGTTGGCAATTTTAATGCTTGCCGACTTCTGATCATCTGCTCTCTCACACCACTTTGTATTATGGTATGACATAATACAAAAATTTGATCGTGCAAAACCAATCATGCAACCATAAACAATGCACAAGCCCACAAGCACTGTAGACAGAATGTAAAGTCTGTTTTGAGTATTTCGGAAACCGTAAGTCACCAATATGACTTAAGAATAAACATCCAAGAATCTTCAGTATGCTGGAAAGAAAGAGGACTTCAGTCTACTAAAAAGTAAACCCCTAAAAACGGGTCAAACAACCTTGATATCTGCAAGTGTATTTAGAATTAGAGTAAGAATGGTTTCCTCTTCTACCCTAACAAGGAGTCTGACGCTTGAATTACATACTTCAGAGATACTTCTGCAGAGGCAAATGATGAACTATGTGATGTAACAAGGTATTTCCTGGATTTTCATTCACATTGGAACCAAGTGCTAGACAAGAACTTCACATGTCTGTGGTTAAGTAATGTACACTTCTGAGTTATATTTAAAAGTATTCAAATGTAATCACACTTGAGATAACAAAGTGTAAGAGGCACTATGTTTTTTTCCAGACATTTCCCCATCAGATGAATATTAAGAAGCTTTTTTTTTTTCTTCCTCCAAATCAACCCAATTCTTTTTGTAATGAACCTCTGCCAGCCTGGTATACCCCCTCAAGAGATGGGGATGGTAAAGAAGGAAAGAAAAGGAGAAAGGGGAAGTTATTGCCAAAAATGGAAGGGGGGACAGGAAAAGAATGGATAATGGAACAAACCTACCTTCATCTCTTCCTTACAGAAGAAAGTATTTCAAGAAGATAGATGTCAGACTCTTCTTTGAAGAACTAGAAGCCTATGCGAACAGGTATTTAACACATACTACGTTACTGACCCCAAGCTGCAACGGGTCAAGAACTGAGATAGGTTTCTGGAAAACATGTCTTCAGTGCCACTGAACAAAATCAAAGATAAGCAGGGGCCAATGGAATCTCATGAAAAGCACGAAACACCACAGGCTTTTAGATGAAGAATTACTCAAAAAGCAAAAAATAAACTGAGGATGCTGGGAAGTGGAACTTCCAGCAGGAGGCACATTAACATGTGATGCTTGTTTCCTGCTTGCAAATAGGGGAACTCTCACTAGACAAGAACCATCTTCTGCACCTCATCACTTAAATGAAACTGCTCAGTGTTTGCCAGTCTACCCTAAAGAGGGTTACACCCCTCTCCTGCTGTGAGGATGGCAGGGGGAAGAGAAAGCGAACCATCTTCTCTGCATGTCCGTGTCCCAGAGAACCATCTTCTCTGCGTGCATCTCCAGAAGCAGAGCCAGGCTCAGCACTCAAAGCCCACCCTGATCGCATCCAGCTTTCCTGCCTTTTTTAAGGCATTGGTCTGAAATTCAAGCTGAGTTGGTTTGATTCGTTCCTCCTTGTGACAAAATAAAAATGGGAAAAAAAGGAGCGGTAGGAAGAAAGAAGAATGTAGAAGCCTGCCTGATACCAGAAAACATATCCCTAGCTGCCTCGTCTGTCCGAGGCATGCCACAGCCTCCTATACACCCGCAGAATTTTACATGCAGCTGTGTAAGGCGCATAAAGATCCTGCCTAATGAATACGATGAAGATAGGAGCGAGGGAGAGAAGGGAGGGAAAGGGAAGGCACAACCTTTCTTTTCTCTGCTCTTCCTGGGGATCTGAAAGTTCCTCCTAACAGGCACGTCTTCTGGGGGCTTAGGGAGAGGGGGCGACCCCCCCAACGCATCGCTGGGCGGCGGCTGCTGCTGCTGCTGCTCTGGTGCTGCCGAGACGCTGCTCCTGCGCTGGCTGCCGCTAGTGATGCTGAGGTTTGGGGGGCCCTTGTCCTCTGCAGCGACAGCAGCCACCAGCAGCGCCTCCCCACCGCCACTGCCCTCAGAGCGTCCGCCATTTTGTGTGGCGTCCTCGGCGGCTCCCGCTCTGTTACTCTCCGCCCCGAGGAGGCCCGCGCCGCTCTTCTCCGGCCGCTGCTGCTGCTCCAGCTCCATCTCGCCACCGCCGGAGATCGCGGCATCCGCCATTCGCTCCTATCGCCGACAAGCCAGCGCGACAACCCGCGCCGTTTCTTCCTCCCCCGCCAGCCTGCCCCTGCCCAGCGCCATGCGCCGCCCGCCACCAGCACTCCCTCCCCGCCCGCTCGCTTTATGGCAGCCCCACCGCCCCCTCCCCGCTCTCTAACATGGCGGCCGCGACGGCACGGGGCGGACGGGGCTGGAGCCCGGCCCGGCTCCGCCAATCCGCTGCCGGCGAACGTTATAAAGAGAGGGCAGGCGGCGGCCCGCCCGCGGCTGGTGCGCCACCGCCGCCTTCTCAAGAGAACGGAGGGCGGAGGGATCCCGGCGGTGCCGCTGCTGCCTCGGGGGCTCCGGCCACGGACCCATGAGTACAGCGGGGGCGGCCCCCTGGGCCCGAGCCCCCGGAAGTACCTGTGAGGGGGCCTCGGCCCGCTCCACCCGTGCCGGCGAGGGGAGCGGCGCCCGTTACCGCAGGCTGCGGGCGGGTAAATGTGAGGGTATGGGGCCGGCCGCAGCGCCCTTGGGGCTGAAGGGAGGGAGCCCCGGGAGACTGAAGCGGGGACAGAGCCCGTCCCGAGGATACAAGGCCGGGGACAGAGCCCTTGGAGACATGGCCAGGTGGTCAAACCCACCCGTGATCCGTGGGAGGTAATGGGCTAGGCCAGTTTGTACTGGAAGCACACCAGTATGTTACTGGGAGTGGTGTTGGCCTGATACTGGACCCCACATTAGTAACTTCTCACCATCCACCTGCTGCAGGAGGGTGTTTCCACAGGTACCCATCTGGCCTCACAGAGATGAACACTTCTGTCGCATCCCAGACAGCAGCCAAGCACCTGGCGAAAGAACCTAAACTCCAAGAACTAAAAGCAGCAGGGCTTTTAAGAGGGCCTGCGCTGACTCACCCCCTCAAAACTATTTTTAATAGACAAAATGGCTTCCAGGTCCTTCTTGCAATACACCTCTTCCTGTCTTAATTACAAAAAGGAACTACAAACACTTTTTTATACCTTTGGGCTAATAGGACTTCTGCTTAAAGTAATACCAATTAAAACAGCAATGATAGCTTTGTACGACAAGGGCAAACAGTTTCAGTGATAAAATTCTTATTGAATCAGTTAAAAGCGCAAATAATATAATCTATTAATGCTTTTGGGGGGCAGAGTTAACTGCAAAGGAAATGCGTTATTGTGTAGAGTTTTGTGCGTTCAACCATGACACTTCACTGTCCTTAATCCTCTTTTGTGTTTAATTAAATACACGTACACAGCCATCTAAGATCATGACAGAAGAGATTCTACAGTAATGATGCTTAAGTGAGAATACCTATTTGTGTTCCATGGCTTGTAAAATTGCAAACAAGCTTCAACAAGAAAAGAACTACAGATTAATCAAAGGCAACATAATCAATTATTCATATACCAAAGAGTTCTATTTGTTTCAAATGCAGTGAAACCAGGTTTTGGTGCTACTTGGTACTATCAAAGCTAGGTCAGAAACTTTTTGAATTTCCTGCTAGGCAGGAAACTAAAGAGGTAGTGTGCTGGGCTGGTTATGCACAACATTTTTTTTCATTCAGTGACAACTAAATAATAAAGTGAAACTGTTAAAAGGAAAGTTTTGTTTACCTACAAAGAAAACAATACTATAGCTACAGACCTGAGTGTGCTGTAGCAAAACATGGAAAGGTGCCAACTTAAATAAAGAAACTCAAGACTTTAAATATAATGCTAGTAACTGGTATTTCAAAGCAATAAATAACACCATCACATACACATTTAGCTTTTCCACTGCTAGAGATGAGCTTTGTTGGATTCCTTTGCAGTATTGTAAGACTTTGCTAGCTTGTGTCATTTGTCCACCTGTTTGAAGGCCAGTACTGCTGTATATAAAGCTAATATTTACTCACCACTGTCACTCTTGCTGCAATGCTTGTAACTTCACATAAAAGAAAGATATGAATACGTGAAACCCAAAACAGCTTAACAATTTGATATAATTATTGAAGGGAATCAGAATTAAACATGGTAACATAAGAGCATAAAATTCTAAAATAGACATCTAAATAAAACATTAGTATCTTTACTCCATTTGAAATACACAATTTATTTGGGGGTTTTAGTTATGAAATATCTTAGACAATCCTGTTCTATTCAGAACAGCTGAATCCTGTTATCTCACAAACTAGCTGATACATGATGTTATACCTACTATGAAGGTTTGTTTTGGAGCTTTAATAAATATAGGGCAATCTGTTTTAGGAGTTAATTATATCTGGGTACAATGGTATTACCCAGGTCATTCATGATAATGGAAGAACTTGAAGGATGGACTCTCTAAAGCAGGTATACAAATTCAAATTTTTTTACAGTAACAGTGATGTTAAATGTGGGTTTTGAACCAAGTTGCAGTAGTTCTGTTAATCTCATATAATAAAATTGTCTATGTAATTTCCACCAGATGAGTTTTTGTTTGTTTTACTCATATACCATCTTTCAATAGTGATATACCTTAATTTGTGTGTGAAGAGTGAGACTTGCAATTTGGAAGACATGACCTGAAACCCTGAGTTTATATTCAGTATAAACTTCTGAAACTATAAAAAGTTTCTTCTAAAATCATGCCAGAGCATTGAAAAGATTAATTGTCTAATTTTAAAAACCCATAGTGCCTAGCACTTCCAAGCTCAGCATGTCAGTTACCTTCTTGCTATATGACAGGAGAGAGCTCAATGTTACACCTTCTCTAATCATCGTAGCATCTACTGTGCATGCTCAGTCCAGTGCTTCCCTAAATTGGTGAAGTAATTCATGGATTTAAAACCACAAAACTTTCAAATTTCAAGTATAGAAATTGCAAACAATCTAGTCTAAGGAAAACATACTTACAGAGTTTTTTGAATATTCTGTGCACTTAGCTTTGAGTTTAGATTTATTGCTGTTAGTTACCTAATATGTGAGAATGAACTCTTTGCTGTGTAAATTATCAGTAAGCACAAGTTCAGTAGCTGCATAACTCAGAATAAAGCTACACAGATATTTTATATCTGAAATATAATAATAGAATTTTAGTTCTTTTACTAAGGATAGCAAAGACCTTTCTTTGGCAGCTCTGAGGAATGCACTGAATTGAAAAGCATCTACTGAAAATAAACCGTTCTTGCAGTGCATAAGATGCCATACCTAATGTTTAGTTTTACAAATAATTAGCAAAAATATTAGAAGTCCACGATTTATTTTCTTTGTTTAAAGTATACTGGTTCTGTAGTTGTGTATATTCATTCTTCATACCAATTATCTTAAATCCTGCTAACTGTGGCTGTATATATTCAAAAGAAGCTGTCAAACTCAAATGCAAAGTTTTTCTCTATTTTGACCTAGCTCTTTTATCCCTATCTCTATTTAGATTACCTGTAAATTAGAAAATAAAAGTAACTTCACAACTCACAAATGATCTAGTGCTAATAGTATCCTTCAGGGTGTTACAAGAAGATAAGCTAATAATTATTAGTTTCTTCGTAGAAGTCTTTGGGGAGCCAGCCAAGTTTAAACAGGGTAATTAGAGTCTATAGCTATAATTTACAGAAATTACACCAACACCAAACATTAATCTCATTAATCTAATTGCAGAAACATGCCGTTCAATTATCCAGAGGTAATGTACACTGCATGTGCGGGTTTAAACCCATAGATAAATTAAGAAGGTCCCCCTGGGAATTTGATGTCCTGTCTCTGTAAGGATTTAATGGAGGTGAAGAGCATATTATAAATCAATTGTAGTATCAGAGTACTTTTCCTGTATTTTACCTAGTTCAACTAAAAATTCCATATACAAGAAAGAAAAAGAAAAGAATAAATAAATAAATAAATTACAAATCTAGTGTTAGTGAGGCTATAAAAGGAGATTTAGGAAAAGCTGTCCACCAATAGAAGTTATATACAACAAGAAATTCTCTGGGGACACTGCAGGATTTTTTTAAATGATGTTTTAAAGTTAAGTAAGATGTTTTTTTCAGGGATGGATTCACATTTATTTAATAGTCCTTCCTACTATACTGTTTATTCTATTTACAAATGAAATTCTGAAACACACATCTATGCTTTGGGGAAGGTAAAAGAATTTTCAAAAGAAAAGAAGGTATTCCAGTAGCCATTAAGTTAATATGTAGAGAAGTAGTATTTTTTTTTCTTTAGGAAACCATAATTTTAGCAGGTATATACATATATGACATTTATTTCCCTGCTTTTTTGAATTACCATAGCTCAACTGATATACTGTTTACATCAGACAAAGACCTACCCAAAGACAGTGAAAAAAAAAAAACATATGGACAGTAAGATTTCAAAGACTTTTGAACAAACATTGAGTCTAAATCACATATTTTACTGTATTCCAGTAATTCAGGAATGTATCTACTTTGTATGGATCAACTATTGATCTAATTCTTGTCAAAGTTATTGAATTGAACTACTACAAAAAAGCAACAATGTAGGAAACTACTGCCAACTAAAATTACCTTGTAACTGAAAGCATGCTTACTATTGCTTTCTCTCATAAGAGATACCAGAAAATGAACTAAAGCATATGTTTTCAATGTTCAATACATGTTCAATAAGTAGAAAATACAAACATTATAAGGGTGTATCATAGCAAAGCCAACTGTACGAAGAAATTTTCCTCATTTACTGATCAACAACATGCAAAGTTCCCATATTTACCACTTGCTTTAAAAAATATACTTCTTACTTCTTTACAGATGTACAAATTATTTTATGTATTAACATAACCCTGGGAATTTAACTGAGAAATTGTCACAAAACTGTAAGTACTGCTTAACAAATGATGTAACAATTCTAGATCACTGTACCACTATGAGTCTTAAACTCTGATATAAAATAGGCAGTAAGCATCCCAATTCACAAAGTTGCGGTGATAAATTACCATAGGAAGAGATCAGTTGAACACTGACATTAAAACTCAAAAACAATCAAAAACTCAAAAACAACTCAAAGAAAATCATACAGAAAACACCCCACTGAAGTTATAAATTCTGTCACCTTAAGAGTCTTTCTATTTTCTTGTTTCTGTGGTTTCTGGTATTTGACAAGTGTTCAGCCATGACTCCCTGGCTCATACCAAGTGGTTTCCCACCTGAGTACAAAGCAGCTGCAGATCCCTTTGATTCTGAAATTAGATTGTATGTTGTACATTAGTAACACAGACTAAAATCAGATTAATAGCCATAAAATACAGGATTTTTATAATGGATGTTCATGGTGCTTGCTCCAGAAATGACCTCTGTATTCTTTTATGAAAGCATATTCAGAAATGCAAAATATTGCCTAATTTAACCTAAAAATTTTAAATAAATAGAAATTATTTTACTTTTCAGAAATGACTCTCATGATGCAAAACACGTCTAACTTCTTTAAAAGGTTATGTACTAATTCTGAGCAACAGTATTCTTGCTGACTAATTTTAGTTGCCAGGAGATCAAAGGTAGGAGAATGGCATCATTACATTTCATTCACAGACCATGCAGAGAGAAGCACCTTCATAAAATTTAGAGATAAAACCTAATCTATACATTTGGAAAGAGACATAGTGTCATTTTCCAGTCGTGGGAAAAATACATGCCTATGATAGTAAAGGAGGAGACAATCTGGGGGAGTAGTCTGTGCTTGTGTCCTTAAAGTCAGGGATTGGTACAGGAAACCCAGCTAGTGCTTTTTTCTAACAAGTTTGTGATCCTGAGGTGATAGTCTGAAAATCTACTGGCTTTCCTTTCATGCATTTAATGTGTTTTAAATTTTAATTATTTTAATGTTATAAATAATCAAATCAGCTCTAAAAAAATTATTTCCAGTAGGTGGCAGCATCAACCTGTAGAACTGATTACAATATTTTAAAATGAGTATTCATTAGTAATATTAAATATGGAAGAACTGGAACCCCATATTTAAATGGAGTAAGTTTTCATATACACAAAACTCTCTTCCCATCTCTGTTACAGATCCTGGGAGTCAAGACTGCCTACTAAGTGCCAGACAGCATCACAGTAAAATACCAAATTTCAAATAAGGTCAATCTATTAAATTAACATCAAAGAGCTCTGATATCGATCTTTCAAACACTAAAAATTTCTGTGAAGCCTCAAGAGATCTGGTTCCAACTATTTTAGAGCATTCCTTTAGGCAGCATCCCTGGTTCAGGTGGGTCATACTGAATAGGAGTTGCCTCTGAGAAACACTTTCTCTACCTTGGAGCTCAGCTTTGGGCCCATCTTTTACCCAGACTTTGGCAATTGGTTCCCTGGTACTGAGTTTCAAAGACTTTAAACTAACTGCTCCTGTTGTCTTGCTGCAGAACTTTGTGTTCCAGGACGCAGGTCATCTTCATCCTTGCATTGCTCTTTTCAGTGCTGCAGACCACATCTAGGGAATCAAACACCAGAGTTACATTTTGTTTGCAGTCTCAGAAGGTCCTTACATTTCAAAGAACTCCAAAGATACTCTCTTTGCTCACCTTTCTTTTTCAGTTAGGGCAATCTATGCTTTTCCCTTGCTCTTGAGAACAAGATACCTCATCCCTCATTATTCTCCCAGACTGTAAGATGCAGAGTACTAATACCCCAGATGCAGAGGAGCTGCAACTCATCCAGCATCCACATTCATCTCCTTATTTTGCCATCCCCTCATGGTGATCTTAGAAGCCCTAGACCCCTCTGGTTCTCCATTGACTCTTGCCTTTTTTTTTACACACTCCACTTGTTCTTTTTCATCACTTTCTCACCTTGGCAATATTCTTCCATCTGAGAAGCAAGTGACCTTAAGAGATCTCATGTTAAAATTGACACAGCTTTGAACTACCTCGTTAGCAGAAACATTGCAGGTGCAGCAGTGGGTGTCTTAAGAAATCATCAGCAGTTCTCTTCATCAGAATCAAGCCTGTGATTACTGAATGGCTTTAGCACACATGCTGGCTTACCACTGCAACTTCTCAGACTTCACGGTGCTGATAAGAAGTGTTACTAATGATAGTGAGAAGTGACAATCTTGATGCCTTTACTAATATACATGCACACTTTATATTGAGCATTTTGTATTTTACATATCCTTTTTAATATTTTTATTGTCTGTCCATCTCATGCCACAGTTCTGTCATTCCTTCAAAAGGAGTGGCCTTTTAGAAGTACTAGAACCAATAAATAAATAAATAAACCAACTAAATCTAGACTGATACTGGTACTCTTAAACTGAAAAGCTTATTCCTCACAATGATTTGGAAAAACTTTCATTAAACTATTAGATTGAATCAGTATCTATAAAGCAAAACTGGACCATCAGCAATACAGTGTGTTGAACATGATGATGCTCAGTGGGTTGCTAAACGATAGTCAGTACACAAATGCAAGTTAGTATTTTGAGATTCACTGGCAAGTTGTTAGCTTTTTCAATGCCCTGAAATGCATCATCTAAATGTTTTGAAAGAATATGCAATTTAGTAAACACGTGATCCAAAACGAATCAAGAGACAAAAACTTATGGTGGGCTATTAACTTTTTGCTCCACCTACTCTAATTTGATTAAATAATACATAACTTTGGGGAATGTGCTGGATTATTGAGTGCAGTGACTTAATTAGTTATTACAATTTTGTGTCTAGCAAATAAAATCCAAATATATAACACTTCCACCAGAAACAAATGCAAGTCTTGGTCACGTATGTTAATATTCACTGTGCTTACTGTTGAAATCTTTTTGTTGCCTCCTTGCAAAAACAACAAAACTAAATAAAAATCAAAATGTTTTAAAGTAATTTATTTGAAATGCTTCCAGAAAAGCTAAGGCTATTATCTTAACAACTACACACACACACAAAAGTCAATACACACATTCATTCTTTCTTTCTGTATTTAAACTTTCCATACTTTTTCTCTCTTTTTAAACATTTTGCTGAACATGTTTTATGAAAATGGTTTATCATCTTTCCTACTCCTTTTCTTCTATAAATCTTTAATTTCTCTTCCCTTCACTGACATACTCATTCAGCTCTAAAAATGAAGCAGTTGAAATAAATTACAAAGCGTGAAACAGAAAAAAATGACTTTTTTTAAAAAAAAAAAAACTATAAATACAGAAATATTTTCTACAGGGTAAAAGTGACTTTTTAAAAAATAAAAATACCTTGTTTTATATTGCTTATAATCTTGCCACACTGACTTCTGTACTGTACATCAGTATATATATGTAAGATACTTGATATTTACTATTTTCTGTAAACTTACAGAATAAACATTTTTTGGCAGTAACTTAGTTTTTCTACTTTTGTTGGTATGAATATTTTGCACAGGTACTTTGTGTAATAGCAAAGATCATTTAAATTTATTAATATATCAGTTTCGTAGCTTGACATATTATCATTTATCATGGGCATTATTTCTTATACAAAGAAATAAAATATTACACATGGATTTTTGGAAGAGTTAGAGATGTTCAACTGAGTGTTTTAGACTGCATTTTTAAGTGACTCATCTGCTTCTCATCATAATGAGTAGACTAAATCAGCCACCAGAAAAAACAGTGACATTTCCAATTACAACATGAGACTAAATGCAACAAAAATAAAATTTGACAAAAATATAGGGGATAGAATATATCCTAAAGGAACAGTAATTCCCTTTTTGTTTAAACTTTCTCTACATAATCCCATAGGGTATATAATATTGTTACTTACTTTTAAAAAAACAAAACAAAAAAACAAACAAAAAAACACAACATGTAAACAGACATTTACAGAAAGTTAAATGTTTTTAACATTAGTTTAAGTGGTGTTTAAAACCAACAGTGGAGGCCAGTGGAGTGCAAAATGCTGAAGAGAGCCTATGCACAAGCAGAAGCTTTTTTCCACTCTTACCCTATTTGGGATAATAGATACATATATATATATATATATATATGGTACTGGAAGCAAACCAGCTTATTTACAAATACCCAGTATTCTCAGCATTTCATTTAATTCAGTGCTGGCTGTGGAGGTTGTGTTGTGGTAGGATTTTTTATTTATTTGCTTTTCAGTTTACTTTTTTTTTTTTTAGCATGATGTGCTTTGATAAGTAAACCATAGCACTACGCTGACCACTTTGACTTACCAGATTTTTATGTTCAGTTGATGAATCTTAGTAGAGTGCTTCACTTAAAAAAATCAGTCCCTAAAGAGTCACGTCTCACTCTTTTTATTTCTTATTGATTTAAAACCACAAGATCTCAGAATGGCTATTGCAAGACTGTTTTCTTTTCTGTCCCAGAAGCTATATTTTTCCTTCTTCTATGTCTTTGTGAAAACTTATGATCTCAATACCATCCTAAAACCCCATATTAAGTACATATCTTCAGCTGCCCCCTTAAAGGGCAAATAGAGTACTTAAAAATTATGAAAGATTCTTTACGTAATGTACATACAAACTGTAGTTGAGAGATTCTGTTTACAGCAGGACATTCAGAATAACTGATCAAGTACCTCTTTCATTCATCGTGTTTATGGAATATAACCACAGGGTGTGAGTTGCAGAAGATTCCAGCTTACATAAGTCAGCAGTTACAGTACTACATTTAGTCAAGTACTATACAAGAAGGGCTGCATTGACATTGTCACAAAAAATATTTGAAAAGTGCTTCTCCAAATGGTTCCATGTATGGAATGCAAATACTGTACAGGTAAGACACAGGTTTTGTTCCGTGAACTGTAAGTTTTTGTCAAACATTGGTTTCTATATGTTTTTCATTTTCACAAGAGTTTGTCTGTTCCATACGGTCACAGTCGATGCTGATCTCACTTGTGTCCATACTACAGTCTGACTCACTGTCTGATTGGTCCATTTGCTCAAGCGTGGTTTCTCCCTGGGATACTCTGCTTCCATTTGGTGACAAAATAAAATGTGCTTCTGAGTTCAGCTCTCCAGCTTTTCCTGCACACGTGACTTTTTCTTTGGCCTGCCGAATACAATTAAGCCACTGCTGTTTGTTGAAGGAGTCATTGGCTTGCAGTGAATGAGACTGGCTTTGAGATCCATGTTTGAAGCTGACTCTAAAGAAGTTTCTGACTGAAAGAAACAATATATAGCAAAATGCTGAATGCTTTGGTTGAATGGATGTTGTAATAGAATATAGTATATTGAAATAACAAGTCAGCAAAATGTTTAACTTTGAAAAGTTTGGATTTCTTGCAAATACAGTGTCAGACCAGAGAGAATAGTCTGGGTATCTCCTTGTTCTGTGGAGCAAGAGCACAGAACAACACAAGCACTTCTAATAATTTCTTATTGCTGGATTAAACAATTTTGGTTCTGCCATACATTAATCTACCTGTAAACCTTTAAGTGAACCAGTAAGATGAAGTTCCTCCCACACGTCAAAGTCTCTCCTCCTACTTCTCTGCAAAGCAGATACCTATTTCACTGAATACTGTGCCATGTCAGCTGGAGACTACCTCATCTCTTCCAATTCACTTCACAAATAAAGTGAATACACACCAAAAAAAAAAAATAATCTGAAGTTTTCACAAGATTGGTGAAATTCAAAGGACTCTTGCAATGAAACAAGTATCTCCAGAATATGCTTACTTACAACTTTTACCTCTTGACATTGAGAGTAGCTGCAGTCTTTACAATGAGCACTACATTAATTATCTGCCAGTTGAAAGACTTCGTTATGGAGTAGCACTAAGTGTCTCCATAATAAAAGAGAAGTCAAAAAGACTAAAGCTTATCTTAACCTTTCAAAACAGACTTGCTTATAACTGCATGGTTTTGCCACTACATTCTTCTTCCTTTCCCAATTCAGTACAGAAGCAGGTGTGGGGGAGAAATCCCATTATCAATATAATGGACTTTGAGAAACAATCTAAAAGAAGTAAGTTACAATATCATAAACCAGTTTAAAATAAGAATTAAGATTTTGGATGTAGATGATGTGGATTTTAGAGGAAACATAGCAATAAACATGTCTCATTAGCCCGTATCTTAAAGTTATAACGATCCCATGTGAGCAAATAAAGATGTTTTTGTACTTCTCTCATTGTTGCTAAATGCACCACGTATGGATCCACCCAGTCGCACTTCTCCATCTTGCAATTCTTCTAGCAAAAGATCCCTTATTGGAATTGGCTGTCGATACAGTTGGTAGCAGAGCTGTTCATTATGGGTGATAGCTCGAGTAATCACCATGACTTCTTGGAAGAGGAAGACGTGCAGTTTCTGTTAAAATATATATATATATATATATATATATATATATATATATAAATAATAAAGCATGAATATTATTATTATTATTAGAACATCATTAAACCAGGTTTATTTAATCTCTAGTATGTTATAACATTGCGTATAACTTTTTGCCATTATGCAACATGAAGGTATCTTGAAAAACTATTTATAACAAAATAGTTTTCCTTACCACTCCCTTGTTGTTCTTCAGTTCACCATGACAACATAGAACACGTGAATTATCAATCAGTGAATCCCTTTGGCCTTCTTCAAGATAAATAAGTCTTTCTTTGTAGTATTGGCATTCAGATTCACCAGTCTTTATGTTAATGTCAGCCACTATACCCTGAATTATGTTTATCTACAGAAAAACAATGAAGACGTGAACTTAAATTGTACAGTCTGACATTCAGAGCTATTTCTGCATAATTTGAATTGTAGCTGCAACAAAATAATTTTTAGTAAGTTTTTCCTGAATTTTATGCACACCAGTCTGTAAGAGAATTAATATTAGCAACAGAATTAAGCAGACTACAATGTGTAAATAGTAATTTCTGTTTCTTCACATATGATTTATGAAATACATCGTTTCAAAGATAAATAGCGTTCTACTGAAACAGAGTACCACAAAGCTATATAACATGAATGAGATAACACAAGAAATATCCCTATTATATTTTATTAAACAATTACCCATTACAAATACCACAAGATCTTAAAATATTTCAAATGCTTTCTTACCAGACATAATGTAGAAAAACAAACCTTAGAAATAAGCAGAAAAATTCTGAGCTATTTACAAGTGGTTTTTTGTTTGTTTTTGTTTGTTTTGTTTTGTTTTGTTTTCGGGGGCTGCTTAAAAGAATACTCAAGGGGGGAATAATACACTTCATAAATTACATGGAAACATGAGTATCCAAGCTTTGAATTTACACTGCAGGCTTTAAATTTACACTGCAGTTTGGGGAAGTAATAGCAAACCAACAGTGGTTAGGTACATGCGTTTCAAAATACACATTTCCAAAAAAAAAAAAAAAGCAAGGCTGTCATTTCTCAGCAGAAATACAAAAATCTACAAAATATGCAAGTCTAGATAAATAATAAATGTTGTCCTCAAAATATTCATGGACTTTACTTGTCTTTAAACACTATTCAAAAAAATGATGATATTCATTTATTCATTAATTTAGAAGTGCATTTCAAACAAATCAGCTAAACTCATTTACTCCCAAATGGATGTTTGCATGTGTGTACTTGTTTATATATTACAAGATTATATCTATTTATGGGAAAGGACAGAAAACTCAGAAACCATTCAAAGTATCTGAATCAGGTCCATTTCCTTTAATAAGAAGTTTTAAAGCTTTGGATTTAGTACTCTGGTTCTACTTCAGTCAATACAACCCTATTCAGAATTTTAAAATAAAAATGATAACTAATAGATGATAACTAATCTAGATTCAAAGGTTATGTAAGCACTCGAGCCAGGGAGTTAACTCATCAAAATCACCTTAAACCTAGAAGAAATCTCTACATTACCCAACTTAGATTAGAATGGAAATCAACATTGAAAGAAATAAATATAAAATGGACAAGAATCATATGAGCTGTGGACACAACATGCCAATCCATACCACCACTACCCTCTTGTTTTTTTTTGTATTACTTGTCTACTGAAACAGGATTTAACTGGGGAGGGGAACTAGAGGTTTCCTATACTACTTGCAGCTGTTCTTGTTTTAACATTTCCATAGCTTTTAGAGTATACCATAATTAATGTGAATAAAGTGCTATACATCTAAAAAATCATAATTAAAAAAATCCAGCAACTCACAGCTTCTTCAAGGTGCTGTTGATCTGGATGATCATTTGGTGTGTGTCTCAAAATCTCTCTGAGCAGTAATGGGTATTTAACCAAACGGCTTCTTGGGATGTCAAGGAAATGCCAAAGGTCCAGCTTGCGACTAAAAGGAGACTCTAAGCAGCGCTGCAGGAAATCTTGCACTCTGTGATCTTGTTTCTTGTGATCCAGTAAGGCTTTGGCTGCTACTTGATTGCTGCAGTAGCTATCATAGGAGTTTAGGCATGGGAGCTGAGGGAAGGAATAAATTATTCAGCAACTGAAAAGATACCATTTGCTATATAGAAATTTCCAAGGGATTCAGAATGTCAAAACTGATACTGAGAGTCTCAGTATCTGGAGGTTTATCCACAGTTTATTGATGATAATGCTTCCAACATATATAGGGTTTCCAGTGATCCTCTGATGGCCTTGATCATCATCTAAATTATTCAGAAGGTCTAGCTAATCCCTCAGTTCCTAGAGATCCTCTACATTATTCCGAAACATTAAGCGTATCTGTGACTGAATGATTGAGAACTACTTATTACAGACAGTAGTAGAACACAGAAGTCTGATTTTAACTACTAATTGTAACAAAAGCTTAGAAATGAGTACCCCCAAACCTGGTCTGTTTTAGATAAACAATAAAGTGATCTGATACAGATCTTGCTGTTTGACTGGAACATATTATGAAAGCATCTCTATGCAATTGGATTTACTTGCTAAGAGTATGTTTCTTCCATCTCCCTGCAAGACATTTTGTGATTAAAACACAATTAACATGGGCTTGTAAACATAGCAGTGATCTGTACAACTCCTAAGAAAAACAGGAATTGTATAGGGCAAAGAGCAATATAGTGTTTATTCCTACTAACTTACAAAAGATTTATTTGTTAAAGGAATAGCTAATTGAGTATCTGGTATCTGACTGAGATAACCTTGTAATCTTTGTTCTGTCATACTTCTCTATAGTGCCCTCAAAAAACTTGACCACACTAAGATGGCAGAACTGTGCCTTAAATGTGAGAAAAGAAAAAAAAAACTAGCTTAATGTTGGTTAAAACAATATAGCCATTTACATATACATATTTTATATTGTATAATGGTATACTGTGTAATACATAATGTATTTGCATGCAATTAGATGTAAAATCTTCTACAAAGGAATATAATCTCAGATATTTTGGACTGAGAGAAGTTCACTGGTGTTCAAACATAACAAAAATAAAATTAAATTATGCAAAGAAAACGAGAGATCATATTTGATACTTAAATGTTTTCCATTAACTATTGTAGTGATCATGTTGCTCATATTTACAAAACACCAGTATTTCACAGAGCTTTTAAACATCTATTATTAACTAATCCCACAAAAATTTTCAGCCTCTTTTCCTGCTAAATTTGAGTAATAATATCTTAAACAAGAGCTCTTTATTCATATTATGAGCAATTGTATCAGCAAAACTAAAAAAAACTGGTTTTCCGTGTCTCTATTATGTAGTGAAGGACAAACCTACCAACTTTTTCTTCTGTCTGCCTTATTTTAACAAACTTCTAGGAAATTAATATTTTTGACAGCACTAATGACTATCTATCGCCTTGACTGGAACAGAAAGATATTCAAAAATGACTGTATGGAGCCTTTACACGATGTGACTGTTCAAACTTCATTTCCCTTGAAAATGAGGGTACACATCAGGGCAGATTCTTAAGTGATCTACATCAGATAAATAGAGTCTGACTCTTGATGTTTATTTGAAGAATGTTAAGTAGTGCTCATAACCTGAATAGCAAGAGCTTTTAAAATCACATCCTAGCCTAAATCTTTCAAAGAAAATCCCCCAAAAGAGAAAATGTTTCATTATCTCTCTAAACAGTTGCCTTTACCTTTCAAAAATACTTTGAGAACATATTCTTGAAATGCTATTTTAGATATGGAAATTGTAAATACTACTGTAAATTTTAAATGAATAATAGTTGATACTATGTTGCAGGTCCAAACTAAGTCCCAAGATAGATTTTAAATCTGTCCTACCCAATCCACAAGGATATGGCCAACGTGTTCTGTTGATCCATCGGATTTCCTGACTTCTTGAAGCCGCCTAAGAAGATCTGTTCATGATTAAAAATAGAAGAGAAATATCACTTCATGAGCCAGATAACTATAAAGCTACTTGTAATAACACAGAAAAGATTGAGTTTTACCTTCATGTAGAGGAATTAGAGAGTCCAGTGTTCCAAAAATTTGGTTCAGCTCTTGCTCTGTCATTATAGAAAGCTTAAGCATTGGATCATGATAAGCCTGAAGATAAAAAAGGAGAGCTCTGTAATTAATATATGACTGGCAGCTATAAAATTAGTGATAGCATTTAAAGCTCCCCATAAGTAAAAATAGACCTACTGCTGAGCATATTTTAAAGTTTCAGAAGCATATCTTAAGCTAGCCATGTAACATTTTTTGAATAATTAAAGCACCGCATTTAAGTTTTTCAGAAAGAACGGGGAAACAGAAGTATGTTTTTTCCCCCTTACCATTTCAGCATTGTAAAAAGCAGGGATTATTTTAAAAGAGACAAACAACTGAATGCTGCTGTTTTGCCTCATACCCCTAAGCTTGCCTCCTCAGTCCTCACCCCCCACACCCTTTTCTTTTAAAGCAAACCTTTTTGGCTAACTTCAGATCTTCTATCAAGTCTTCCTCTCCCTGTGTGAGTTCAAAGATAGCCTATAAAAAGACACAAATATAAACTATCTTTATTTAATCTTTACTCAACTTTCAAAACTGATATTATATTCTGAACAGCTGTCTTGATACCACATAGCAGAATCTCTGCTAAATCTAGTTGCAGAAAGAAAATAAGCCTTAATTCCATAGCTACATAATCACATGCAGAATCTTTAAAAATAGCTGTATCAGATTGCTCATAAAAAGCTTATCTGAAATAGCCACAGAAGTAATTTTTTTTTTTTAAACGGATGTGCGTCTAGATGGTGGGAGGCTACCTTCAGCATATTATGACTCAATTATATCTTTAGTTTAAAAAATACCGTTTATGCAACTGGTGGCATAGGACCTTGTTGTGTTTCGTATAATACATCAGTAGTAAAGGTTCTGGGTAGGTCGAAAGATACATCTTTAAAACATTTCTTTGGTTGTGAGCACTTTTATTTTGATAGCGGTTCATTATTTTGCTATGAATGCTGAGCTATACTTAACTGTCTGCTGTTACATACTTCTCTCAAAGCAGAGGTAAGACTCTGCTGGCAGATTAAAAATAACCACACTAACTCGCTAGTTTACCAGAATAGCATTGTATTTACTTATTACATGATTTCATTCTAAACTGGGGTACATGAAAAGTTAACAGCATTTTGGTCAGTTAAAATTAATATTACAGTCAAGTCTTTAAACCCTCATAAATCATGGAAGAACATCATCAGTTACTGCAGATTCTCGTAGCTTGATAATATGTATGCATGGAAGGCTTGCCATAGTGTGAGGTAATTGACAGCGCATGCCTGGAAGTGGGTCAGATACTGTGCTGAAGCATACAGAACACAACGCAGAACCCTTGCACAGAAACTCCCTTGAATACAGCTCATTTATCTGGGTTCTATGGAAGGTCCTGGCTTCTGCCCCAAGACAGTAATGAATGTTAGGCTATGCAAACAGTTTCTACAGTTTATTTTTAAATAAGCTGCCTTTGAGGTAGTTAATTTTCAAAGTTATTTCTGATGAATATTTACACAGCGTTAAAATCTGCAAAAGAAATGCCTGATGTTGCCATTATTTGGTTTATGACTTTCAGTCCCTGAAATATTTGGGGAGAGGATGTTACAAACTTTTCTGATACTACTATAAATCTGCATAAAACTTAATAATAAACCCTTGATACATAAGCTTCCACTAGTTTAAAGGCAGTAGCCCTCCATCATTGATAATATATCTAACATAGCAACAAGACCCTTAAGTATTTCTGTGCAAATGGATTTACAATGTACCAATAAGCTCATGATTCAGAATTTCCACTTCTTGGCTACCTCACTTGCCTCTATGGTTTCTGTCAAGACAAAACAGTTCAACCTAGTCATTACAATGTACTTTTCATTCTGCTGATTTCAGTGGAAGCTTTGTCATTGGCTATAACACAAACTATTTAGATTTTGTCTTGTGCAATACATTTAGACTAACGCTCATTTTTTTTTGCTTGCAAGATACATTGTTGATTAGTATTTTATCTTTCTAGCACTGAAGATTACCTCAAAAACAGTATTTTACTACAGGGGAAGTTATTATGCTATTCTGAGCATAGGTATCACATGATAAATACCTGTACTTGAAATAGCATGCTCACCAATCATTATCAGAACAACAAAATGAACAACAAAATATCAACCATCCCTGCAGAAACTGTCATAAAGAGCATGTACACGTACACAGCCAGAGTATCATGTATAAGTAACTTTATATTTATTATGGAAATATGATGGGCTGGTTTTAAGAAAGAATATATCAGTCTAATTAAGGCTGAATTATAATTCATAGGGATGGAATTCTGTTTCTAGTGGAGATGGTGGTCTTCTCTTTAGTTTCAAGAAAGCTTCAAGTGCTATCTTTATGTCGACCAGTATTTCTCACTCCATGCTTTAACAGAGACTTTTGACCATAAGACCTATGTTAAGAAATATATATATACCTCTTGACGCTTGATTTCTTTAGATGTAAGCATGTGATTGACACAAACATCAAAGGTCTCACTCCACAGTTTGCTGTCTCTCCGCTTTGTGTTAGCAGGCGGCATACTTCGAGACCATGGCCGTGGACTGAACAGATCTGGGCGACTGTCACTACGGAAACTTATAGAACGCTGGAAATACAAAGAAGAATATTTTCTGTTGTTACATCAGATTCACACTGTGTTGTTTTTGTTTTTTTTTGTTGTTGTTGTTGTTGTTTTTTCCCCCCCCAGAAGGAATTATATACAAAGTTCAACCATTTCTAAATAATTCTTACTGTGACTTAACAGCAATGTTTAGTACTGGGAATGTAAGAGATAATTTTAAGACATCTTTCCATAATGCCAATATTTCCATTCCTGCATTGAACTCTGTCCATATCCTGTTCTCAACATGGTTAAAGCTACACAATATTCATATACCATGCAACAAGAATGAACTATAGGGATAATGGCAGACTGGTACAACAAATCAACATGACTGATCAAAAGAAGTTTCAATTCAGTAAATAGTCAGACATGAATCATTCATGCATAACACAGATCCATCTCATTAGATCCCTAATTCTTAGAAAATTTAGAATGCAATTTTTAGAGACAAAAATTAGTGTGAATATTTTTTCACTCGTTTTGAAAGAAAGAAAACTTTTACACAGAAGCTCCCAAAAGCTACAACAAAATAAATTGCTGGATAAACCAAACCCATCATCTTGTGTTTCAACTGGAAGTCCAACCTGTTTTTATCACAGTATTGTTGGGTTTGTTTGTTTTTTGGGGGATGGGATTGCTCAAAGATAGCTGGACTGAGATGCAATAGGTCTTACCTCAAGGATATCAGATTAAAAGATATCTTATATCAAACGCTAATTAATGGTTTAAAAAATAAATGATTTCTCAGTTGGGCAGAAAGAAGGTTCATAAAGTGAGGCTGTCGCTAGTACATACCTTAGTATCTTGCTACTTAATGGTAATATTTTATTTTTTGTAGGCTGTCAGAATCATGAAGATTCAATTGGTATCACCATTCTAGATATGTATATAAGCAGGATACAAATTTTAGTGCTTTGATGTTCTACCTGATCAAACTGATTTTCATGCATGAAGAAAACCTTTAAAACGGTAACTTCCTGCCTCCTCAGATGAATCATTTACAGCAAGAAAACTAATTCACATGGAGAGGTGTGAAATGGGTATCTGACTGAAAAGAGAAGAACAATCACATTATCTTTAAAGAAGTATGCTAATATTCATATTTTAATGTTTGTGATGAATGGCAAGCCAGATTCCTTTCATATCACTTCTTCCTCTTTATTTCTTTGTAATTGACATATTTTATTTAAATTCTATCAGTGCAGAGAGCAAACTATGAAATACTAGTACTGAAACTATGATAGCATATTTATTAATATTTTTGGAGCCTCTAACTGAGATGACGTGTACCAGCATCTCTATCTTTTATGTGGTTTGGTCGTAATCTTCATTAAAAACAAAGTCTAATTTTAAGTGAGACATCTGAGTGTTTAATTTACCTGCAGACTCTTAGAAAGAGCTCAGGCTATGGATGAATACTTCATGCTCTCACTGTGTTATTTTTAAAAGACTCCTTTCTTGTTTTGTTAAAATTAGAGACTTTTATTATGAGGTCTTAGCTCTGAAATATCTGGAGTATTCCAAATTGTTGAAATACTCTACATTTTTGTTATTTAAAACCTGCCTTACATAACACAATCATCTTTCAATTGCCATGGGCAAGAATATTTAAAGCAAAATAAATTCTCTCAATTTCCAAGTTGAAAGCAGTATATACAAAGCACAATATTTGAAATTCTCCTCTGAAGATAACAGCCCATGAAATGCTAGCAATGCCTATAAATACAGTGTTTTTAAATTATCTGAAGATGTGATATAAAAAAACAAACAAACAAACAAACAACAACAAAAAAAAAACAGAAGTGATTTTGAGCTTGGAATTGAAAAAACTGCCAAAAAAGAAGTGTGCACACACACACACACACTCGCACATATATATACCAACCTTCCAGAACTTTGCAAATCAGGTGCTAGTATCCCTTCAAAATTTAAGAAGATAAAGAATCGTACATGCAAATTGCATGCTTAATTTATACTTGTTATAATGAAGAATCACGGAACCCATTATTTTCACATGCAAAAGGAAAGATTAGGGAGAAAGAGCCAGGTGTCCATCCACAAGTCACCAATTGTGAGAATGCAGCCAAGCAGAACTGTTGTCATTCCATGACCAAGGTGGAGTGCCCTTCTCCATGCATTCCCATAAATACCCTTCAGTATATAGCTGCTTTTTCGTGCTAGTGATTTTTAAGGGCATGCTTCATGTTGAATGAAGAAAATAATTATAATGAGAAGAACTAGAAAGACTGATCTTTAAAATAAATGCCTTGACACCTTTTAACAAAATGTCATACATCATGTTACAAAATGCCACACACCCTGTAATAGCAAACAAACTCCATAAAGTGTGTTGAGAAAAGTAAGCCCTCACATCCACTGAAAGTACTATTTCTCTACACTGCATGGGAATGCTCGATACCATTCTGTACAGCACTACATTGTGTTCCTTTGGACAGAAGGTGACAAAAAGGGCTGAGACTTGGCAGAAAACTTAACTCCCCAAAGTCCTGCTTGCTTACCTATCATCTCTGTTACCTGGGCACAGTAAATATCCTATATTTGATTGATTTCTCTCATGTTTCAAATATCACACAAAATGTACCTTGCTTTATATTAGTAAGATACATTGGATTAAGAATAATTATTAGTGGAAAAGTACAGAAATGTTTGGACATGTTTTTAACAAGGAGAAATTTCACATCAAGAGGCTCTGGTCTCTTTGTCTTGTTGCCTGATATACTGACTTAACTTGGTACACTGAAATCTAGTTAGGAAGGGAATCACACGCTTCAACAAGCTTATTTTAACATCTTCCACTGCTTTTCATAGATGTTCTAGAAATTGACTCATAAAGCTATGAAGAAAAACTAATGCATCACCAGGGAAATACTATTTAACGGTAAAATTAATGCTTTGTCACTCAAAAGTCAAGCAGATCTGAATCTCCAATGCTGTAACTGACAATAGAAAGAAGATGTAAAGCTGTTATATAAGGCTCATTTTAAAAATCCACCAAATAAATTCTTTCAATAAAACACTGATATGTTAAGACAAATGGACAACATCATTGTAACCATTCTCAATACTAATACTTTACCCATTTTTTTCCAAGTAAACAGATGCGTATCAATTTAGTGGTCTTTAGACGTAAATTTAGACCTAAATTTATGTTCAGCTAGCAATTTTTAAAAACAAATTTACATGTACTGTGATGGTAATCTTTTGTTTGCAGTTGCCCTGAGGGATTAAAAAAAAGTTCCATGAATCCTATGAAGGAATTGTAGAAATGTCAAACAAACAAACAGACAAAAACCAACATGCCCAGCATAGTGGTTAAAAATGATGTTCATTAGAGTCTAGGATCATTAAAATTTTCATATAATTCCAAAAATTAGAGAAGATAGGGAAGAATCAGGCCACAACTCCTGGTTTTATTTATTGTATTTATCTGACTGCAATAACTTCCACTGGCTATTACCAGATGATTAATATGAAGGGTCTAGGTGTTACTGATGTTCAACTCCTACAGTTAACAAATCTTAATTTCAGCTGTGCTAAAGCAAACAGCTTTATGTACTTGGAGAGGTGGACTACAGATCAAAGTCACAGCATTCAGAACTGATGTCGAATGTATTTTGTTAATAATTTTTAGAAATTTGTGGTGTGTCTAGGCAAGATAAAAATAATTTTGACTCCCTATTTAAATTCAAGACACTCTGATGAAAATTGAAGTTGCAGAGGAAGCTAGCCAGACAATTTTTCTCATCAGCTGGAATTCGTTTTCTGATCCTATTTTCAGCTTTTAAGCCTAACAGCACAGCTGTAAGACCAAACAGAAACAAGCAGATCATCATAATCATTAGTCTTGCTTGATGCAGCCTGAAAATACTGCTATGAAATAGTGTTTTTACAGGTGAATAAGCAAGTAAGAATACCTGCGTAGCACCTAGTAACCTGCATATATACAGACAGACAGACTGTTAGGGATGAAGTTAACAGCTATCTGTTAACCTACAGTGCTCTGTGTGACAGAAACATAGTAACTACAAATAGTCAAAAAAAATGGTACGTAAAGACTTTATGTGGTTTGTTACTTGACATTCTTGTGTTGACAATAATGTGCAAAATGGTAATATAGCTGAAAACATAAGGCACACAAAAATCAAATACCTCTATAATTAATATGCAACACAGCAAAAGTTGCTAAGAATATCTTAAAAGACACTACACATCTCAGGTACAGAGGTGTTTCTCTTCAACCTGCACACAGAAAATCCAGTTCAGTAAGGAAAATTACGCACATTGCTTTCATTCAGGAAGAATTATGTAAGAATGTTTGTTTGAAATTTCATGAAGGAAATTCAGAACTTTCTAATTCTTTTCACTGATGCAATTGGTGTGGTCTTTTTGTATGGATGTTTTATTGGCTTTGTATTTGTTTATTTGTTTGTTTTTTTTTCTCCCCAGGGAAACAATTAGTTTGTTTTGGATTTTGTGGTGGTGATAGTAGTTTTCCTCATTTTACAGACACAGAACAGCAATGCAAGAAGTATGGTTGGTTGGTTTGTTTTTGTTTGTTGTTTTCTTTTTGTCTGAAAAAAATTAACAATAAAGATACATGAAAATTCATCCAATGAGAAAAAGTAATACTTTTTCCAAGTATTATAAATTAAAAAAAAAAAAAATCCTGTTCTGTACTATTCCACAAGACACAGTGACAGCTCCATCAACGCACAGCAAAGTTAAAAATAAAAGCAAAACATTAACACAGGGGCTCTACATGCTCCCCAGTATGTTTCCAGCTAATTTCCACTGAGGCACCTGAGTACAGAAGGTCAGCCATTTTTTTCCTGTTCTATTGCTGTTGACAAAAAGTCAATTTACAGCCAGCCATGAAGGCACTTTTGAGAGACTTCACCAGCATTCATCACTTGGAAATAGGCTCAGACCAAAGATTTGGAGAACATAATACAGGTCGATTTCGCACTGCAGCTCCTTCAAACATAGTTACTTACGGAGGAGAAGGAATCAATATCACTGCTTAATCTGATTAGAGGCAGACAGTTAATTAAAATATATTCTAATAACCACCAGGAACAGACGAAGGCAGAAATGTTCACAACAGTAGGACTTCTAACAAACTCACAATTTTCACTACTTTTGTAAAAATTTGCCCCAAACCACATTTATGTAGCTCTCACTAGGATCTAGGAAGGCTACTAGTACGTGCATAAAAGAACAGGTTGTTTTAATAACCAAAATCAGCCATTATTAAATACAATATTGTATTGGGAAGCCCCATCTCACAGCCATTCACTACAGAATGACAGCACAGTCCCTTAAACGAGGACAACAGCTGTGGAAGGCTGCAAAAAGGGAAGTGCCGTGCTCAGAAGCAGTTTAGACAAAAATTAATTCACTTTCCACACGCCTCACAACTGGAACTAATGTAGTCCTTTCAGGGTCAGGCCAATTTTTTTCTACAGGCAGACTGCAGAGGAGATTTATACACCCCAGGGAATACAGGCATCTCTGCTCTAGTCACGCTACAATATACCTTCGGGATCCAGCCCAGACTGAAAGGAGTTCAGCCATTTTGCCTCTCCTCCAACCCCATAAATGCAATTATGGTATGCAGATGTCTGTGCTTTCAGAATAGCAGGAATAGGAAACAGGAAAACCAATGTTAAAGAAGTGCTGTAGTATCTGTTTTTGAGATACTACTGCTACAGAAACATTGTTTGGTTTCTTTCCCCATGTCTTTTTATTTAACAGATAATTTCAATAATGCTCTAAGCTACTTTTTATTAGATAACAGTTTTAATACATTCAAGATATTTTTATATTTCCCCTCTCTGAAGAAATTAGCATTTTAAAGTAAATTTCTTTAGATTGCACAAATGCTTTCTTACATAGCACTGTTTTCTCTTAAAATAGTTTATTTTTTTCCCCAAAGTTTTCTAGGCCAGACCCACAGCAGTATTTCAGTTCCCAACTGTTTCTCACTCATGATAATCATTAGGAGTTGAGCACCCAGATGTTTGAAGTCTCCAGGTCTGAAGGCACAAATAATTCATAAATTCAAGTAACATTTGTCTCTATGTTAAATATCATGCACTTAATCTGTTGTATGGAAACTGAAACTACAAAATGATTTAGTTTCTAAATTGCATTTAAACTATGCTTGCCCTTTTTATCAGCAGCTTTGGAAAATGACTTTTTTTTTTCCCCAATTGTTCGCTACCTCTTTGTCTAGGGAAGTTCAAAGTTCACTACACAGAAGGAAATTTAGCAGTCCTGTATGACTAGCTGTACCAAAAATAACATTTTCAAGGAAACCCATCAAAATTAACAGGAAGTGTCATGGAAAACTCTGTTCTTCATTGAATTTAGAAAGCAACTGTAATACTTTAATATAGAAACTTCTATATGCTACAAGGGTAATAGTTTTCCTAGTAATTAAAAAACATCCATTATATGGACAGATATGTTGTTTTTGAATTAAGAGTTCTGAGTTTTTAAATTGAGTAACTTTGTGTGAGCACCACTTTGAGTGGCACTTTGTTACATGGTCTAAACTTTTGGGTAGACCTGTGTGGTGCCAGGAGTTGGACTTGATGATCGTTGTGGGTCCCTTCCAACTCAGGATATTCTATGATTCTATAGTCATAACTGCTTAAACCTGTTTGTCACATTCCATTGGTGTGTGCACTCATATGCACACAAGTAAATGGACTTCCCATTCCTGTACTAACCCTAGAAGAAATTGTGTGCGTCTGTATGTGTGTTTTCCCTTTTTAGAAATGCAGTTTAATGCAGCAGTGCAGCTACTGTTATTACCTGAAGTGTCTGGCTGAACCGCTTCAATGGAGTGGCCCTTACAGGAGGGATGAGACTTGCTAGTGATGTAACTCTGGAAAGGGGCTTGACCCGCTTGTTACTAGGCTCCTGTAAAGGCAGAAAAATGGGGGAAATGTGAGCATAATCATTTAAATACTGCTGCGAGTTTCACTGGTTCTTCTAAGGAAGCAATTATAAAATAGAAGTTGGTAAGCCTGGTATATAATTAGAGTAATATATAAACAACAGCAGTTTTAAAAGCTGACAATGACAGATTACTCTTGGCTGGTACATACAGATCCTGGAAACAGTTGAAATATATCATCATGGCTGGTGGCAGGGGAGGGAAAAGGATGAAGAGACAAAAATATGTTATTACATTAACTCATTCTTAAAAAAAGACATCTTCAGCAGTGCTCTGCAGCTAACGCATCTTCTGACAGTGTTGTCATTGAAAGGAATACTTTCAGATAAAACCAATTAAGTTTGTTTCTTTGCCTTCTGGCACTGTCAGCATGTGACTTTATTCAGTGAAAAGTATTTCACTCTAGAAAATATAATTCAGACCAATTTCTAACTTAAATGTCCAGTGAGCACACATTCATATAGAAATACCTCCACATACAGACAAATAATGTTTACACACTTTTTTTTTTTTGCATAAAATAGAAAAAATAAAGAAAAAATCTACCGTAAAGCATTCAACTAAATATTTTTCTTTTCATATATACTTACAACAGCTCTTATGCCCTGTTTAAGTAACGTATAACCACATCAATGTAATATGACAACTATCCTGCAGATTTTAAAAAAAGTAAACAAATGATAATGAAAGAAAAAAGTGTTATAAAAGCATAAAAATAAAACTGTTACCCTTGGCTTTCTAACCTCTGAAATTTAATGGATCTTGAACAGCACATGCAAAAGGCAACTTTTGACAGAAAAGTAGGCAAACCTTCCAAGTGACATTAAAAAACCCATCTAACATCATATTTCAAGGATATCCTAAAGCAGGTCATCTTTCTTTTTCAGCCATGGTTATTGAGTTTGTGTAGGTTTCCTATGTCTCCAATTTCCTATACGATCTTTTGGAAAATGAAGCACACCTATTAGCCTTTTGTTCAGAGAGACAAATCCTTCTGGAAATAATGCAGATTTATCATCTTTCCCATTGAGAAAAAAAAAAAGGCAGCAATGATCATCATCTGCATTACTGGCAAGAAAAAGTCTCTTCCATTAGCACAGCAAGAGGAAATGTGAGAAGCAGCTACATATTTAATTTACTTCTCAGCAGGCAAACCCAGAAATCTGTAAATGCTGAAATAAAGGACAAAATGTTAAACCCTCTAGCAAAAATAATGTATTCCTCCACTAATGAAATCCAGTATTAAAGCATTTTAGCAGCCTAAATCAATCTACTCCTTTATCTTCACCGCTGCACTGCTATTCCTATTCCTTCCTTTTCAGCAGTCACATCTTTGACACAGGTTTTTGTCAGAGTTTTTTTTTTTTTTTACGTCACTGCAGCACCACTGGCATGCTGATTTACACACCTCCCTGCTCCTGAAAAAAAAAAAAAAAAAGTATTTGAGATTCCACTGTAATTCTCCTCTAATTGGTGGCTCAGTCATCAGCTGTTGTTTCCTGTGATTACTCAGAATGCCAATCCTGAAGCACAAATAGTATCCCATGGCAGAGCCTGCCTGATATCACTAGTGCTGCACTGCAGTGAAAGGACACTGCCCTGCTTTCAGCTGGGACAGAGTTAATTTTCTTTCTAGTGGCTGGCATGGTGCTGTGTTTTGGATTTCAGATGAGAGTAATTTTGATAACAAACCCTTTCAGTTCTTGCTCAGCAGTGTTTACTCTGAGTCAAGGACTTGCCTAGGCATTACTTAGGCATAAATATCACATCCCTAAAGCAAAATCTCGAAATCAAGCATATATGGACATTAAAGAAGATGGAGGGGGGTTAGGATTAAGAGAAAAGATTTCTCCTCCTTTTCTGCTCTATGCCTTCTACATGTATAATTCTATAGCTTTGCTGCTAAGTGTATCTTCTTTGGTCCAAAGACAAAACTGATGGGGAAAAAAAAGTTTGATCTACACTACATCACAGATAGCCATATCCTGCTTGGAAGTTAAATGCTATCCATAGTCTAACAGACCTTTTACACTTACATTGTGATTGCACAGTCTTTCAGTCTTAAATTTAACCAAACTAAGCCAAGAAACCCTTGAATAATTTTCTTTGGAATCTACTGCCAGCAAATGAGCTGACAAAATAGGTAAACCTGTTCTTCACTGCATTTCTGCAGCACCATTGGAATGATGCAAAAACTTTGAATGAATCTTCCTGAGCAGTGTTTAAGTACGAGAAGACAAGCCAGTCTACTCATATGTGAGTATTTCCACATCTGTTTGCACAACAGCAGCTAAAGTTTATTAATCACTACATTTCACCTGCCTGCTATGAGCTCAGGCTGGGACCTAATCTGGTCTGCCATGTGGGGCACGTAAACCTCAGGCAGCTGCAAAAACTGATGCAAAGCATCAAATAACCTTAGTCTGAGTAAAAAGGAGGGACAATCACCTTCTTTCTCCTGGAGAGCAAGAGGAAGTGGGGAAAAAAAATCTCTGATTTCTCCTTCTTCATGTTGGACAGTCCAAAGACTGTCTGAGAGCTGCGCTGTCTCCTAGCCAGCAATGCCTACAGTCCCAGGGGAACATGATACAGCTTCTCCTTTAAAACTCCCCCATCCATTTCAAGGTGAAAGTTACTTGGGCAGTATAATTTTCTTTACTAATGTTTGTGCTGCTAAACCTTACTGGGTACAGAAGTTGATGTTAAAGAGAAGAAACTCCACATAGAGTTTCAGCCATTGTTGAAAAACAATAAGCTCTTCTACAGCCTCTTGCTGTACGCCGCCAGAGGTCAGCACCTCTCCCAGCAACCAAAAGGAAAGTCAGCTAAAAGGTTGTGTGAAGGTCTTTCTGCAAAGGTCCTACCTCTTCTGTGTCAGTATCCCCTTTTGTCTTCCTCGTGTTGGGTATCACGTGCTGATCTCACACAGGAAAATTTGATCAGAATTCAAAAGAGCTAAAATATGTAGTACCAATTAGGAATTGGATGTTTCAATTATGAGAGATCAGCATTACTACAGGATTCTAACATGATTATTTAAAATAATGACTCAATAATTTCAGAAGTCTAAGACTTCACACTTTGCCAATCAGGTCTGAAAGTATATCTTATTAAGCAGAAGTTCTTCATTATGCAGAAAGCTTTCTACTACTGTCTGACACTCACCCCACATTAGAAATGGTCTGGTTGGCTACGACACCCGGCTGGAAGTAAAAACTCACCAGACCTTCCAGGTGTCCCTTCCCACAGAAATATCTAACCACAACAGCAATCAACACTGAGTCACCCCTTCCGCTGTGGAATAATAAAGCTTGTATAGGAAAGGTTTTGATTGTGCAATTAAAAAATAACACTACTGGAGCAATTCTAAAATTGTAGGATAGTAACACTGAAACTCTTAGACACCCTTGCCAGGGTCACACTTTTTCTGCTGCATGGTCTATGTTCATTTCATCTCTACCCCTCCCTCCTTTTAATTACTGTCAAGCTATCTGCATGGCCTCTCCAAACCAGCGACACAGAGATGATGAACTACTGACACCAACAATCTAGGCAGGGAAAAATTCCGCAGCCTAGTGTATGAAAAAGTGAGTTTTGAACACATGGTTGTTTTTCTAATCAAGGTTCTTCACAACCAACAGATCAAATAGGAAACAGCGTGTGAACTGTTCTGCTTTACCCAGAGATACTGAGGAGAGTCTGTACTTGCACATCAGTCCAATAAGACTCAGGGGTTGCATTCTAGATACTGCTTCCCAAACCACTTCAGTGGTTCCTACTTTTTTCTTTCTTCTTTTTTTAATAATAATAATAATAAAAATAATTAACTGCTTGTCGTTAGGAATTCTTTGTACATGTGTTTGTTATTTTACTACTATATTGTCTATGAATACCTCTGGTTTTCCAGTTAACTGAGGAGGGGTCCTACAATCATAAAATTTTTGGGGATACGAATCTAAGCACACGGGAACTCAGAATCGTGTGATTCCTGTGTCTAACCAGCATGGAGAGGCTGCAGAAAGGACATACTATCCAGGAAGACAGGAAGAATGAACATTAGGTTCCAGGTGAGTATCTCTGAGTGTGCTCAAAAGACTCGGAGCTACCCAGTCATCACTTGTCCTTCCCCCCTGCTCGCCCTCCCGGTCCAGGGAATTTAGAAGCAGATGGGATTCAGCAGCTGGATCTGCTTGCAACAACTATTACCTATCCAGACTGGGAACTGGGCCAAGTCAGGACACAAAATTCAGCAGTTAGAATTCTTTGTTTGACCTTTTGAAGTCATTATTGATATTTAAAAAAATAAAAAAAAAATCACTTCAGAGTTCTGAACTAAAACTAAATTCTAGACTGCATTGTCAGAGTTAAAGGCTTGCTCAAATAATATGGGAAGCTGGAAAACAAAAGATCCAGACTACAGTTTGGCAAGGTTTCCAAAATGTGGAGCTGGTATATGTGAATGAGTAATGTTAATTTGACAGTACTTTAAATTTGATATAAGGCTAAATAAAACTGAGGGAAACATGAGTGCAGAAACTTCAAAGACTGCACAGTCCAAGCGAAGTCAAATTAATACCTGACTAAGCTAGAACAAAGAGCAGCTGGCTTTTGGAGGGAGCTGTATATTTGAACTCAAAATGACTTTGGTAACGTGAATATTGGAATTCAGAAAGCAAAGAATTAAAACTGGAAATACCATATATATGCACCCTCGAAACAAACTCTTGAAACTGAACAAACAGAAAAAGAAGCAGATCTGTGTACAAGATCTGGATGATTCTGGAAACCATGAAGTGGACATTTCAAACAACTACCCTGTACTTCTGAAAGAGTACATTTTTATCCTATACTTTTCTTTGGAATTCAAAGGAAGAAAGATTAGAGCAGTCACAACAGCATAATCAATTACCAAATACTTAAGGCAGGAAAATATCAGATAAGAAGTTTCAAAGATGCCATGCCT